AGAATAGGCTTCTTATATGGCAAGATCTCCAAGACCCAGAGAGCTTGATAGCCCCAGAGGGTCAGCCTGGCTGCCAGCGCCTGGGTCAGGCTTGGACCTGCTGGAGGAGGCACAATTCAGGAGAGGAGGCCCAGGGACCAGCATGATGCCCCTCCCTCTCCCCCACTCCCATGTCACTCTGTTTCTCTTTCCCTGTATGGCTCTCCCCTAGTGACTTCAGTGCGAAACCCCAGGCTCCCCAGCCTGGGTCAGTCCTGTTCCCCCTTAGACCACTGTCCCCATAGGGTCATAGAGAGAAGTGGAAGTGATGCCTGTCTACAGTAGTAGGGAGATCACTGATGGTGTAAGACCTTGGAAGATGGACCAGAAGGTGTCCTGCTCCTGGAGTGGGGGCAAAATGTTTTCTAGGTCCCAGGGCTGTCAGAAGGACATCAGGCTTGCCACCCTGAAAATGAGTACCGATTCCATACGTCTGTGTAACTCATCTGAAAGCAGGAACCTGATAAAAGCAAGTGAAGGGGGAAGGGGAAGAGAATAAACATTTACAGAGTACCTACCATGTGTCAGGCACTACACTCAGGGCTTTTACAAATGGTAGCTTGTTTGATCCTCATAGCAATCCTGGGAGGTGGGTGCTGTTATCATCCCTATTTTACGGTTGATGAAATGGAGGTAAACAGGGGATAAGTGATCTGTCCAGGGTCAGACAACTAGTTAGTGTTTGAGTCTGGATTTGAATTCAGGTTTTTCTGATTCCAGGCACAAAGTCAGCTGTTCAGGTATCTCCTAGTAGGCCTGGGGGCCTCTGGAACTGGGCAAAATAAGACTTGATGATAATGGTAGATAAGGGATTTGTCATCCTGGAAGTTCTGGAGTAGGGTATAGAGAAGGGCTGGTATTGGTATTCTTAATTTATAGAAATGGCAGCTTGTTAGCTGTCAATTAAACAACCAATCAAATAAATGTATTAAAATGAGGCAAACTCTTAGCCCAAACTCTTAGCCTTTTATAAGAGAGGACCAAGCTAGTTAGTCTTTTTGTACCTTGAGGGCCACCTGCTGTGGAGGTGATGGTCATTCTGTCTTTTTTTTTTTTTGAAAATGGGCAGGTACTTTAATTGTTTTTTCTCTCCTTAGTTTTTTTCTTGGTCAAAAGGGACACAAATTAGATAGTGAAGAACTAGGTAGTTGTATGAGTGGAAAAACCATAAACTGGGCATTTTAATCAAAAGAGTGATCTTGGGATTCTAGAATGAACCAGTAATGAAAGGATCATAGATGGACACTGGAAGAGACCTCAGAGGTCACTGAGTTCACTTCCTTTAATTCACTGAGGAGGAATTGAGGCCCAGATTGGCTAAGTGATCTGACCAAATCAATTAATATTTAACTTACTTTTATATACAGATAGTAAACAACAGACCCGAAATTCTAACCCAGATGCTCAAACTTCAAATCAGTGTGTTGGAAGCCCAGAGTTTAAGATTTGAGTCCCTTACACTGTCATATCCTAAATTGGGATGATTTCCCTTAAAAGAGGAGATGCCTCCCTTAGCATTTGGTTGCTCTGGAGGAATAGGGTCTGAAGCATTGACTTAGCTTTCTTGTCCTGGGATCTTAAGGCCCCAGGCTAGGGGGAAGTGGGATCCTGGAGGTTTGGTGGAATTCCCAGTGCCCTGCTAGATGTCTTTCTGATGGAAATCTCTGTTCATCCTTGCCTCCTCCTCCCCAGTAACTCTGATTGTCTAATCTATTGTCAAATTGTGGGATTTGTACTCCACAAAGTCTTTTCTTGATGTCCCCTTCTCTCTATTCACATAGCCACCACCCTAGTTCAAGACTTCATTGCATTTACCTGGACTTTCAAAAGCCTTCTAACTGGTCTCCCTACCTTAGAGCCTTTCTCCACTCCAATCCAATCTCCACTTAGCTGCCAACATGATTTTTCTAAAGCATAGCTGTGACAATGTTACTTCTCAGGTCAATAAACTCCATTGGCTTCCTATACTTGTATGATAAAAATTTGTATTTAAAATTTTCATAAAAATTCAATTTTATTTAATTATCAGTACCAAATTTTCTCCCTCTCTTCACTTCTCCCACACACTTTGAGAAGGCAAGAAATACAATATCCATTATACATATGAATTCATGTAAAACATTTCTTCATTAGTGATGTTCCCGGGGGAAAAAAAACAAGAAAACGAAAGTAAAGAAAAGTTTCAATATGTACTGTGAATCTATCAGTTCTTTATCTCAAGATGGATAGCACTTTTCGTCAGGAGTCCTTTGGGATTGGGGTGGATCATTGTATTAATCAGTTATTAAGTCTTACTTAGTTGATAATCTTTACAATATTGTTTGTTAGTGTAAATTGTTCTTCTGCTTCTGCTCACTTCATTTTGTCTCAGTTTATATAAGTCTTCCCAGATTTCTCTAAAACTCCTTCCATACCATAACTTCTTTAGTCATTTCCCAATTGATGTGTATCTTGTCTGTTTCCAAGTCTTTGCCACCACAAAAAGAGCTGCTATAAATATTTTTGTATGTGGATCCTTTTCCTTCAATCTTTTTGGGGGTGTAGGTGATGGTATTGCTGGGTCAAAGGGGAAGCCTAGTATTTTTTTTGCTTGATGCTCAGTCTTTTAATAGTGTTTTAGGCACCAGTATGAAATTATCTGCTCGGTCTTTAAAGGTCTGGGGAGCCTGGCCCCTTCCCACATTTCCAGTCTTCATTACAGTGACCATTTATGAATACTAACAATTTGACCACACTGGCCTAGTCTTGCTCCTTGAGTATGGAAGATATTCCATCAGCTATCTTTACTTTTCTTCTAGATATTCCCCATGCCTGAGGTGCTCTACTCTCTCTCTCCTCTGCCTCAGTTTTCCTGGCTTCCTTGAACACTAAGCTGAAATCTCATCTCCTGCAGGAGGACTTTCTCAATCTCCCCAGCTACTAGTGGTTCTCAGATGACCTTCCATACACCCTGTATGTATTGTGGATGTAGCTAGTAAGCTTTAATGGAGCACTTTAATGTCTGCAAAACTCTTTACATGCATCATCTCCTTTTTATCTTCATAACAACCCTTTGAGATAGGTATTATTATTATCACCATTTTAAAGATGTGGAAAGGGAGGCTGAGAGAGTCATGTGGCTTGCCCAGGATTACACACCTGGTAAGTATCTGAGGGGAGATTCAACCCTAATTCTACTTGACTCCAGGACCAGTGCTCTATTACAGCAGGTTGCCTCATCACCCTTGCTTACAGAGCACCAATGAGGGGAAATCTACCACCCCTCACCTGAGTGGACAACTGCCCATTTCAAGTTTGAATAAGTCTTATGTAAAGTCTTCCCCCTCCCCACTGATATCACCATTTGCTTGTCTGCACATTTATCCTTTGCCACATATTTGTTGGGAAATGGCAAACTGTCTGGGATGGATGGCTATCTGTGATGTCAGGCCAAACACTTAATATCTTTGGCCCTCAGTTTCCTCATTTTTAAAATGAGGAGGTTAGATTAGATAGCATCTAAGATCCCTCCACCTTTAAATCTATATTCCTATGCTCCTCTTACTTGGTCCTATTATTTGAATCAAATTATTCCATTTCATGGATAAACCACAAGTTATTTTTGGACATGAAATTTGCTTCTAGAGTTTAGAATTTACATCAAATTAGGCAAAATTAATTTGGTTAATTTTTGTGTTTATTTTTAGTAATATTTTGAAGGCATCATCTACAAAATGAAATTGAGTTGAACTGTAGTTTTATGTGTGTTACTTTAACTGTATGGTATTAGTTTTCTCTCCAAAAAATATTCTATAAGCAAGCAAATACATGAATAATGCATGAGTGTACCTATTTCTCCACAACCCCATCAGCATTTAATTTTATTGCTTTTTCTCAGTTTTGCAAATTTCATTGAAGTGTGGTGGTCCCTCAATGGTTTTTCAGTTTCTATCTGTTTATTAGTGATAACAATAATTTTTCTAAGTGGTTATTAGCTATTTGTGTTGTCCTTTTTGAAAATTATCTATTTATGTACTTTAACCATAGAAATAGAAATGGAAGGAATCTCAGAGGCCTTTTGGTTCAGTCCCTTCATTTTGCAGGAAAGGAAACTGAGTGCCTAGAAGGTTAAATGAATTGCCTATCAATACAGGTAGTATGAAAGGCAGGATTTGAACCTGGGTTCCTCAAGGCTGTGATTGGTGGATTCAGAGCTAGTTACCTTTCCAATGTAGTCATGTAGCCTCCCCTTATCATGCAATTTAGTCTAATTTTTTAATAAAAATATTATACCATTTCTCTTTATTTTTGACTCCACATTCTCTTCTCTAGTCAAGTTACCAGCACTACAGAAGGCTCTTGGGAGCACAAACCTAATCTCACAGGCAGTTTAGACTCAGAACTGTGCAATATCTTACTGTGCTTGAGCTGGTTCCTAGCTCCAGAAGGGAAGTGGAAGCCAAGAGTGAATGCCAGGAAAGGATGGTGAGTGGAGACACACTGTGAGTCAGAAGTCCCCGTGATGGAGAGAACAGCAGCTGCATTGGGGCCTGACCTGGAGATCTGCAGGAATAGTCTAGTTTTCACTTTTATATTCCATATATATTTGCCTGCTCTCTTGGTCATGATTGGTGAGCATAGACCCAGGATTGGACATAAGGGAAATCACAGTAAGGACTGGTATTATCATAATTTTTTTTATTAAGATAGTCAACAGAAAGCAGTTAGATAGAAAGAAAAGTATATGAGTACAGAGAGAACATCACGGTCTCCCTAGCCCCCCCACCACTTCTTCTTGCTAGTCGGTATTTTGTCCCTTGCATGAAATTCCTCTCAGTCCAAGACCTAGGGGGCTTCAAACATCCTTTCAATGGAGCGAACAAGAGACCTGAATTAATCTTTACCAAAGTGCCTGGCCCTGGAAGAGCCCTGTCCTCCCCATCTCAGACAATTTGGGAAACAGGCTTAGGGAGGCCTAAGACAGTTGGAGAGTGAGGAGGAAGAGAAGCTTAGAGGGCATTAAGCTAAAGGTGCTTGAGTTAATTATGCTTAAGATCCAGTCAGTGTGCACACTGACATTGGTGAAGACACTAGGCCTGTAGGGTCGACCACAGCCATCTCCCCAGCTGACAATACCTGCTTGATGCCAAATACCTTTGACCTTACATGTCAAGGGGCCTCCAGAGTCACCCTGGGGGAAGATAGAGAAAGTGAGTCACTTTAAAAGTGTAGTTATGGCAAAAGAGATTTCCTAGAGTGGAGCAAAGAGGTGAGGGGAGGCAGAATATGAGTGTCAATAGCTGGTCAATTCATGTATCCAATTTAGAGATACTAACAGAAATGTCAAAAGAAAGGAAACCAATGGCCCATTTCACCTGACAGGCATCCTTCTTGCCCTGTACAAAGCCAGCACATGTCATGTCATCATATATCCTGGATATGGAAGGAGAAAGGTTTGTTCCTATATGATAGTATAGGTCACAGGTCTTCTGATCAATGAGAGGCAATTCCACTGCTTGTAGGTACCAGGATTTTCTTTGTGCTGGAGATGTGGGAACAGGAAAGGTCATAGTTAGGGTCAGAAATGAAGGAGGGCAATATAAAGGCAGGTGACTCTCTGGTGGGGTGCCCTGGATATGGATGATAAGACCTTGATTGATGTTAACAAAAAATTTAAAGGACCAAATGAGTGAAAACACTAAATAAACCAATCTTTATTTATAGTTAATTGTAGAATGTTTGTTTCAATCTTCCCATTGTAATATGTGTTTTTCAGAAAGTGTGAGAATTCAGTCTGAGAACACTTTGGACTAAAAAGTGAAGCCACTCATTGAGGTTATAGGATAAATGCCAGACTCTTACTGTACTATGTAAGACTCATCCCAATAAGGTCCTACATCACCTTTCCATCCATATCTCAGGCTGCTGCTATTCCTTAACATGAAGTCACTATTGCAGGCAATGAAAATCAACCCCTTCCCATATTCCCCCACCCAGGTATCTTACAAATTGTTGGAGATTTAATAAAATGAGTGGAATAACAGAACGACATATTCCATTGGTACTCAAAGGGTGCTGCAAAAGCATCCCATACCCCTTTTTATCCAATCATCCAGAGTTTCCAAGTTTCCCTGGCTTCTGGGAACAACCTGAAGAGAACTGAACTCTTTCTCTTGAGTTTCCTGACACAGCAGAAATTCTCTGGGCTGAGCTAATTAATGAAGTATTTTGACTACGAAAACCTGTTCTTCCATTTATTGATGGAGTATTTGACACTGGGAAGAAGACTGGGAGTAAGGTAAGAAGTCCTGGATTCTAGCTTCAGCTATTGACATTGCTAGGTTTGGAAGCCTGGGGTGTTGTTTACTTGTTTTCAGTCATGTCTGACTGTGTTCACTTTTTGGGGTTTTCTTGACAAAGATATTAGGGTGATTTGCCATTTCCTTCTCCAGTTGACTTTACAGATGAGGAAAGTGAGACAGACAAGATTAAGTGACTCACCCAGGGTCATAGAGCTAGTAAGTGTCTGAGACTGAATTTGAACTCAGGTCTTCCTGATGCCAGGTCCAGGCTCTACCCACTTCACTACCCAGCTGCCCAGAACCCTGGGTACAAGCTATTTAATGACTCAGCCTCAGTTTGCTCATGTGTAAGATGGAGTTGATCATATCTGTCTCACCTACTTACTGCAGCCTCTAAAGAGATGTGTTATAAAGACTATAACATGCAGTACAAATGGGAGGCATTATTGCTATTAGGAAGGAGAGGAAATGGAATTAACCAAGCATATCAATAAAGGGCCAAAGAAAACAAAGCAAAAGATTGTGTGAATAGGAAATTAAAATTAGTATTTCCTTTGTAGTGGGTACAAAGTGGATAGTCTGACTTGGGACAGAGATGAGTTGGCTCTGTTGTAGCTGGGGCCTAGGTGTAGGGGTCACCAGCTACAATCATCTTTGCAACTGTCCTCACTTGTGCCTTCTTTCGTTTTTCCCCAGCCTGTGACCCAGCACATGGTCACATTCTCAAAGAAGGTCCTGGAGGGTGGGATGCAGATGGGCTGGATGGTCTCCTTGAAACGAACTGGTGATCTCAGCTTTGCTAACGCGATGTCCTTGGGTGGTGTGCCATAAAAGTAGGGATGAATGATGATTTTTTTCACAGAATAACGTTTGGGACGAAAGAAGGGGAATAGCCTTGGTAGCAGAACAGATGAGCCTAGAAAAATCTTCCAATGTCTGATCTTTCTTTTACTAAAAGGGGAAAAGGAAGAGAGTAGATATGATGATGATTCCAGGGCCATTGTGTCTCAGGTACAAAACTCACAGGTTTAAGGACTGGAAGGGATACTGGAGATAATTTAGTCTATGTCTGTGATTTTACAGATGAGAGAAATGAAGGGCAGAGAAGGTAAGTGATTTGTCTGAGGTATCATCAAGGATCCTGCAGTCTTGGAGGGAGCTCTTAGCACTGATACAGTAGGGATTGCCAAGGCTATGAGTTATGGGTAAACCTTGGGCCAGGGGAAGCTTTTTGAGATAAGAAAGGCTGGCCTTATAGAGCTGGTAACCCTGCACCTGTCAGTATTTGAGGGGTCCTTAGTAGGTCCCTACCAAAATACTTACCTACATGCTTGTCATAGTGCCTGAAATTACACTTTGTCGAGTGGAAAGCATGCTGAATATGGAGTTGAAATCCATTTCTGACATTTACTAGCTGTGTGACCTTGGGCAACTCATTGAACTTTTCTGGCCTTTAGTTTTCCTCTAAGGTCCCTTTCAGCTCAAAATCTGTGATTTGTGATCCTGTGATCCTTATTTTTGGGTTTGAAAGGGTTTGGCTCTCTACATCTATTCCACAAGCATTGGTTAAGTGCCTGCTAGATGCTAGGCACTGTTCCCAATGGACACAGAAATATTCCTTTTTGAGGACTGGGGGGAGTATGGAAGGATGGAGAGAGCTTCAATGACCATAACTTTCTCAGGTAACTGAAAGCAGGGGATTATGAGAATTTGGAATGGGTCTTGCATGGAAGGGGCTGGGCATGGAGTGCGACAAGGGGTGCAGAAACTGGGGACTTTTCTTTTTCCATTTTAAGGGTCCCTTATTCTCAGTTGTCTGTGTTTTCAGATCTCCTGAGTCCCTCAGTTCCTTGCTAAATACGAAGTACAGACTGGGTGATTAAGGGACAGGGAAGGGCATCAGGTATAGGGATGGAACAGCAAATGGTGTAATGTAGACCCTCTCCACCCCATGCCAGGGAATGGGGATCCTGGCCCTCTCTGTAGCTTCCTTGTTCTACCCCTCCTGACTTGCCAGCCCCTCCCCATCAACTCCTAGGTCTTTTCTGAGGACAGAGCTGCCCCTGCCCTTTGGGCACCCTCTAGACACTGCTCAGAAGGGGGACTCACTTTTGGAGGCAATGAGCAGCTGTCATCACCCAATCTGAGTGGATGAGGCTTCCCCCACAAATATGGTGGTTCTTATAGTGTAGGCTAGCCTGCCAAGGCCATCTGGTTATGGAGCTGTCCTCGCCTCCGGTGATTCGTCCTGAGTCCTCGGGCTGCCCACAGACTTGGAAGAGCGTTAAGGGAGATTAAAGAGATTCAGACATCCCATCCAAGTCCCCCCCCCAACCCTGTCCTCCCCTCTCTCCTATTTAGCAGCCATCTTCCAGCCCTCCCTTCCACCCTGGACCCCCCATTTGGCCCACTCAGTTTTTGTCCTGGCCTCTTCCTTCCCAGAGGTACACACCCTTCTCAATCATCTTGGGGTCTGGGTCCAGGGCTCCCATCTTATCTTTCTTTAATTTCACCTCCTGGAGCCCTGGGGAAAGAAGGCAGGCATGGTGAGGTGGGGGCCTTCTAGGACCACCCCTTGGTGCCCAGCCCGACTCCCTGCCCCACCTAGGTAGGCCTGGGCCCCCAGCAGCAGGGGCAGCAGGAGGGTGGGGCTGACCCAGCTCATGGCCAAGTTCCCAGGAGGCCTCTCCCTCTGGCTGGTGGCTGGTGGCACTCTGCTGAGCAGGGGCTCTCCCCGGGCTGGCGCCCCCTAGGGGCAGCCCCTTGTTTCTCCTAGAAGAGGCTTCTTATATGGCAAGATCTCCAAGACCCAGAAAGAGCTTTGATAGCCCCAGAGGGTCAGCCTGGCTGCCAGTGCCTGGGTCAGGCTTGGGCCTGCTGGAGGAGGCACAATTCAGGAGAGGAGGCCCAGGGACCAGCATGATGTCCCTCCCTCTCCCCCCACTCCCCATGTCACTCTGTTTCTCTTTCCCTGTATGGCTCTCCCCTAGTGATTTCAGTGGGAAACCCCAGGCTCCACAGCCCAAGTCATCTTTGTCCCCCCCCTTAGGCCACTCACAGGGTTATAGTGACAAGTGGAAGCGATGCCTGTCTAGAGTACTAGGGAGATCACTGGTGTTGTAAGACCTTGGAAGACGGACCAGGAGGTGTTGCTCCTGAAGTGGGGGCAAAAGGTTTTCTAGGTCCCAGGGCTGTCAGCAGGACATCAGGCTTACCTGCCCTGAAAATGGGCACCTATCCCATTGGTCTGTGTAACTCATCTGGAAGCAGGAACCTGATAACAGGAAGAGAAAGGGGAAGGGGAAGAGAATAAACATTTACAGAGTACCTACTATGTGTCAGGCACTACACTCAGGGCTTTTACAAATGGTAGCTTGTTTGATCCTCATAGCAGTCCTGGGAGGTGGGTGCTGTAATCAGGGGATAAGTGATCTGTCCAGGGTCACACAACTAGTGAGTTTCTGAGTCTGGATTTGAATTCAGGTTTTCTGATTCCAGGCACAAAGTCAGCTGTCTAGGTCTATCCTAGAAGGCCTGGGGGAGCTCTGAAACTGGGCAGGAGAAGACCTGATGATAGTGGTTGGTAAGGGGCTTGTCATTCTGGAAGGTCTGGAGTAGGGTATAGAGAAGGGCTGGTGTTTGTATTCTTAATTTTAAAAAAATGATAGCTTATTAGCTATCAATTAAACAACCAATGAAATAAATGTATTAAAACAAAAGGCAAACCCTTGGCCCAAACTCTTAGCCTTTTATAAGACAGGACCAAGCAAGTTAGTCTTTTTGTACCTTGAGGGCCACCTGCTGTGGAGGTGATGGTCATTCTGTCTTTTTTTATTTTTGGAAAATGGGGCAGGTACTTTAATTGTTTTTTCTCTCCTTGATTTTTTTCTTGGTCAAAAGGAACATAAATTACATAGTGAAGAAGTAGGTAGTTGTATGAGTGGAAAAAACCATAAACTGGGCATTTTAATCAAAAGAGTGATCTTGGGATTGTAAAATGAACCAGTAATCAAAGGATCATAAATTGAGCACTGGAAAGACCTCAGAGGTCACTGAGTTCACTTCCTTTAATTCACTGAGGAGGAACTGAGGCTCAGATTGGCTAAGTGATTTCCCCAAATTAGTTAATATTTAATACACTGTTTTTTATAGATAGTAAACAGCAGAGAAGAGATTTGAACCTAGATCCACAGACCTCAAATCTAGTGTGTTGGAAGCCCAGAGATAAAGATTTGAGTTCCTTACAGTTTCATATTATAGGTGAATTCTTCCTAAATTGGGATGATTTCCCTTAAAGGGAAGGAAATGCCTTCCTTAGCATTTGGTTGAACAGGAGGACTATGGTCTGAAGCATTGACTTAGCCTTCTTGCCCTGGGATCTTAAGGCCCCAGGCTAGGTGGAAGTGGGATCCTGGAGGTTTGGTGGAATTTCCAGTTCCCTACTAGATGTCTTTCTGATGGAAATCTCTGTTCATCCTTGCCTCCTCACCCCCAATAACTCTGCCTGCCTAATCTATTGTCAAATTGTGGGATTTGTACTTCCACAAAGTCTTTTCTTGATGTCTTCTTCTCTCTACTCACATAGCCACCACCCTAGTTCAAGACTTCACTGCTTTTACCTGGACTTTCAAAAGCCTTCTATCTGGTCTCCCTACCTTAGAGCTTTCTCCACTCCAATCCAATCTCCACTTAGCAGCTAACGTGATTTTTATAAAGTATAGTTATGACAATGTTGCTCCTCAGCTCAATGAATTCCATTGGCTTCCTATACCTCTAAGATAAAAATTTGTATTTAGATTTTTAAAGAAAATTCAATTTTATTTCATTTTCAGTACCAAATTCTCTCCCTCGCTTAACTTTTCCCTCACCCATTTTGAAGGCAAGAAATACAATATCCATTATACATATGTAGTCATGTTCCCAGGGGGGAAAAACAAGAAAAAGAAAGAAAAAAGTTTCAATCTGTACTTTGAATCTATCAGTTCTTTATCTGAAGATGGATAGCATTTTTATCAGGAGCCATTTGGAATTGTGGTGGATCATTGTAGAAATCAGTTATTGTCTTTCATAGTTGATAATCTTTACAATATTGTTTGTTAGTGTAAATTGTTCTTCTGCTTCTGCTCACTTCAATTTGTCAGTTTATGTTTTCCCAGATTTCTGTTAAATTGTGCCCTTCGTTTCTTGTAGCACAATTGTATTCCCTCCTATAATATAATTTCTCTAGTCATTCCCCAAGTGATGTGCATCTTTTCAGTTTCCAGTTCTTTGCTACCACAAAAAGCTGCTATAAATATTTTGTATGTGAATCCTTTTCTTTCGGTCTTTTTGGGGGTATAGGTAGTGATGTTGCTGGGTCAAAGGGGATGCCTAGTTTTTAAATAGCATTTTGGGCACCAGGATGAAGTTATCTGCATGGTCTTTAAAGCTGTGGGGAGCCTGGCCCCTTCCCACATTTCCAGTCTTCATTACAGTGACCCTCTATGAATGCTAACGATTTGGCCACACTGGCTCTTGCTCATTGAGTATGGAAGATATTCCATCAGCTGTCTTTGCTTTTCTTCTAGATATTCCCCATGCCTGAGGTGCTCTACTCTCTCTCTCCTCTGCCTCGGTTTTCCTTTCTTCTTTCAAGACTAAGCCTAAATTTCATCTCCTGCAGGAGACCTTTCTCAATCTCCCTAGTTGATAGTGATTTCCTGCCTCAGATGACCTTCCATACACCCTGTGTGTTTTGTGGATTTAGATAGTAAGCATTTACGGAGCACTTTAATGACTGCAAAGCTCTTTACATGCATCATCTCCTTTTTATCTTCATAACAATCCTTTGAGATCGGTATTATTATTATCACCATTTTAAAGATGAGGAAAGGGAGGCTGAGAGAGTCATGTGGCTTGCCCAGGATTACACACCTGGTAAGTATCTGAGGGGAGATTCAACCCTAATTCTACTTGACTCCAGGACCAGTGCTCTGTCTATTACAGCAGGTTGCCTCATCACCCTTGCTTACAGAGCACCAATGAGGGGAAATCTACCACCCCTCACCTGAGTGGACAACTGCCCATTTCAAGTCTGAATAAGTCTTATGTAAAGTCCTCCCCCCAACAATTTGCTTGTCTGCAACTTTTACCCTTTGATACATACACTTTGGGAAATGGCAAACTGCCTGGGTTGGATGGCTATCTGTGTGATGTCAGGTCAATCACAATACCTTTGGGCCTCAGTTTCCTCATTTATAAAACAAGGAGAGGGGCAGCTAGGTGGTGCGGTGGATAGAGCACCGGCCCTGAAGTCAGGAGGACCTGAGTTCAAATCTGTCCTCAGACCAAACACTAGACACTTAACTAGCTGCGTGACTCTGGGCAAGTCATTTACCCCCAATTGCCTAAAAGAAAAAACAAAAATGAAATGAGAAGGTTAGATTAGATAGTATCTAAGATCCCTCTGCCTTTAAATCTATAATCCTATGATCCTCTTACTTGGTCCCATTATTTGAATCAAATTATTCCATTTCATGGATAAACCACAAGTTATTTTTGGATACTAAAGTCACTGCCAGATTTTTGAATTTACATTTAATTAGCCAAAATTAATTTGGCTGATTTTTCAACAGGTAAGTCTTCCTTGTGGTTTATTTTTGGTAAAGTGGAACTGAGTTGAAGAGTATGATTATCTGTGTTACTTTTACCATATGGTATTAGTTTTTCTCCAAAAATGTTCTATAAGTAAGCAAATACATGAATGATGAATGAGTGTAGATATTTCTCCATAACCCCATCAGCATTTAATTTCATTGCTTTTAATTATTTTTGCAAAAAAGATTCTATGATTTAGGAAATATATGAGTAATGAATGAGTGTATCTATTTCTCCACAACCCCACCAGCATTATTTTTGCCAATTTCATTGAAGTAATGTGGTCCCTCAAAGTTGTTTTAATTTGCATCTCTTTATTAGTGATAATAATTTTTCCAAGAGATTGTTAACAATTTGTGTTACTTCTTTTGAAAATTTTCTATTTATATACTTTAACCACTTAAGAATCACAGAAATAGAACTGAAAGGAATCTCAGAGGCTTTTTGGTTCAGTCCTTTCATTTTAAATTGGTAAAAACCAATTTTACAGATAAGGAAACTGAGCCCCATGAAGGTGAAATTAGTTGCCTAGTGATACTGGTAGTATCAGAGGCAGGATTTGTACCTGGTTTCTTGAAGGCTATGATTGGTGTCTCCAGAGCTAGTGTCTTTCCAGTGCAATCATGCAGTCTCCACTTATCACTTATTGAGTCCTTTTTTTTAAAATGTAGTCGCCTTTCTCCTTATTTCTGACTCCACATTCTGTTCTCTACTCAAGTTACTACCACTACAGAAGGCTCTTGGGCATACAAACCTAATCTCATGGGGAGTTTAGACTCAGAATCTGCAATATCCTACTGTGCTTGAGCTGGTTCCTAGCTCCAAAAGGCAAGTAGAAGCCAAGAGTGAATGCCAGGAAAGGATGGGGAGTGGAGACACACTGTGAGTCAGAAGTCCCCATGACGGAGAGAACAGCAACTTCATTGAGGCCTGAGCTGGAGATCTGCAGGAATAGTCTAGTTTTCACTTTTATATTCCATATATAATTGCCTTTCTCCTTGGCCGTGATTGGTGAGATGGACCCAGGAATGGGACAAAAAGGAAGTCACAGTAAGGATTGGTATTATCATGAAATTTTTTTTAAATTAAAACAGTCAACCAAAAGCAATTAGATAGAAAGACAAATATGTGAGTACAGAGAGAACATCACAGTCTCCCTAGCCCCACCACCACTTCTTCTTGCTAGTCAGTACTTTGTCCCTTGAATGAAATCCCTCTTAGTCCAGGACCTATGGGGCTTTAAACATCCTTTCAATGGAGCATGCAAGAGACCTGAATCAATCTTTACCAAAGTGCCTGGCCCTGGAAGAGCCCTGTCCTCCCCATCTCAGACAATTTGGGAAACAGGCTTAGGGAGGCCTAAGACAGTTGTAGAGTGAGGAGGAAGAGAAGCTTAGAGGGCATTAAACTAAAAGTGCTTGAATTAATTATGCTTAAGATCCAGTCAGTGTGCACACTGACATTGGTGAAGACACTAGGCCTGTAGGGTCGACCACAGCCATCTCCCCAGCTGACAATACCTGCTTGATGCCAAATACCTTTGACCTTACATGTCAAGGGGCCTCCAGAGTCACCCTGGGGGAAGATAGAGAAAGTGAGTCACTTTAAAAGTGTAGTTATGGCAAAAGAGATTTCCTAGAGTGGAGCAAAGAGGTGAAGGGAGGCAGAATAGGAGGGTCAGTAGTTGGCCATTCCTGCATCCAACTGAGGGATCCTAACAGAAACGTAAAGTGAAGGGGAACCAATGGCCCGTCTCACCTGACAGGCAGCCTTCTTGCCCTGTACAAAGCCAGCACATGTCATGTCATCATATATCCTGGATACAAAAGGAGGAAGTTTTGTTCCTATGTGATAGTATAGGTCACAGGTCTTCTGATCAATGAGAGGCACTTCTACTGCTTGTAGGTATCAAGGTTTTCTTAGGCCTGCAGATTGGGAACAGGAAAGTTCATAGTTAGGGTCTGTGATGAAGGAGGGCAATATCAAGGCAGGTGACTCTCTGATGAGGTGTCCAGGATCTGGATGATAAGACCTCCATTGATGTTAACAAGTTTTGTTTTTTTTGGCTAGGCAGTGGGGTTAAGTGACTTGCCCAGCATCGTGCAGCTAAGTAAGTGTCTGAAGTCGGATTTCAACTCAGGTTGTCTGGACTCTCGGGCTGGTGTACTATCCACTCGGCCACCTAGGTGCCCCTTAACAAAAAATGTTAAAGGACCAAATAATTCAAAACACTAAATAAATCAATATTCTGAGATTGTTCTAGAATGTGTATTTCAATCTTCCCTTTTATCATGTGTGTTTTTCAGAAAGCCTGAGAATTCAGTCTGAAAATACTTTGAACTAAAAAGTGAAGCTACTCATTGAGGATCTAGGATAAAGGCCAAACTCTTAGTGTACCATTTAAGGCTCATCCCAACATGGTCCCACATCACCTTTCCATCCATATTTCAGGCTACTGCTATTCCCCAACATGAAGTCACTATTGCAGGTAGACTTGTTTCCTTACCCCTCCCATGATAAGCACATTCCCTCTCCTCAATCTTGGGTTTTTTTTTTGTCTGAAATTCTATCTCTCTTCAGGCTAGACCAAGTCTCATCTCTTCCAAGAGATTTCCTTGGCTTCTCCGGCCCACAGTAACTTCTTCCTATAGTCCTTTCTGCTGTATCCCTTCCTTGGTATTCATCATATGCTGCCTGGCATTGCTATTTAAATTTTCAAATGATTATGTTTCACCTCCCTAATGAGATTTTGAGATTATTATTATTATTATTATTATTATTTTTGGCTAGGCAATGAGGTTAAGTGACTTGCCCAGGGTCACACAGCTAGTAAATGTTATGTGTCTGAGGCTGGACTTGAACTCAGGTCCTCCTGAATCCAGGGCCAGTGCTCTATCCATTGCGCCACCTAGCTGCCCCAGATTTTGAGATTATTGAGGAAGAATTTGTCTTATAAGTCTTTCTGTCTCTCAGAAACTTTTGAACACTTGAGCAAACATTAATTGAATGGCAAAAGAATGTAGTCTATTGTGAGTTAGAAGGCATTACAGAGAGTCTCCATTCCCCTTCCTGACCTATGTATAGTCCAGTTTAGTCAGGCTTCATCCTCAGTGCTGGGGAAGTATGGCATCTTCTCTTAAAACTGTTTTGCAACAGCAACTAGGGCATAGCTTCCTCTTCTCTCCTCCTTTTTTGACTGTTTCATACCTTCCTTATGCTGAACCTGGCAATTATGTGTTTTGGTTATACTGATCTGTCCTCCAGTTCCTGTTGGACTCCGGTGGTAGGGAGGCCACATCATGGAGTGACAAGGGCACTGGACTAAGGAAGGAATCAGAAGCCCTCTGTTGTAGTCCTGACTCTTGCCTTTACAAGCTTTGGGACTCTGGAGCCTTGATTTGCTCATCTGTAAAATAGGGATGGTCATACCTGTCTCTTTTACTTATTGCAGGTTCAGATGAACTGAAGGCTATGTGGATACTTTGTAAACTTTGTAAAATGCTGTACAAATGTAATGCCACATCATTATTAGGGACAAAAAGAAGTGGAATAAATTGAGCAGGTGGACAAAGGGTGGGAGGAAACAAACAAGTAATTTACAATTGAGGTCTCCAGTTTTGCTACAGTGTTGTTGATCCGCCTGGGGAGGCAGATGCAGGCAACCTTGGTGGCTAGGGGCTGGCAGCTAGTTTTATCAAATGCCCATTGTCCTCTTACCCATCCTTACATTCATGTTCTTTTATTCTTCCCCAACCTGTCACCCAGCACGTGGTCACATTTTCAAACTCTGTCGTGGAAATTGGGAGACAAATAGGGAGGATGCTCCTCTTGAAGCGGATTGGTGACTGCAGCTTGGCCAGAGCGATGTCCTTGGGAGGCCACCCAAAGTAGAAGGGATGCAAGATGATTTTGGTCACCCGTCGGGAATGCAAATAGCTAAAGCTTAATTTGTGTGGCCTGGTTGTACGGGAGCCCAGTTGAACTTTCGAAGCCCTGGGATCTTGAGCGTGGCTGAGGAGAAGGAGGGGAGCAGATGTTGGAATTGTCTCGGAGGCAGCTGAGTTTTGGGGTTGTAGGGGTGAATATTTTTGTTATCTTAGAATTGCTTCTAGTCCTTGAGGGTGTGGACACAGGCTAACTAATAGTCAGAGACAGTATAATCCTGTGCCTCCTGAGATTTTTCTTAGTGTGGGTGAAAATATGTGACCTTATATTTAGGAATGACCTGTTGTCATTTGAGGTACTTGGCAGACTCCTACACCGAATTTTTCCCCTGCTTGCTTGCCAAGATGGCTAAAAATTCCACCATTAAAGATTCATTTCTTTGTATCTAAAAGGGTTTTTTTTTTTGGCTCTTCAGTGGTTCAGAGTAGAAATGCAAATCTGTGTATGTTGAGGGAATGACTTAACTTTCCTAGGGATTGGGGGACAGCCATCGGAGAGTAAGCTTCTTCAGGAATTTGAGTCAGTTCTGTAATGGACTGGGTCCAGAAAGGGGACAGGGGGATAGAGAGGAAATTAGAGGGACTTAGGTTCCAAAGACAATTCCTTCCCCATTTGTGAAGGTAGCCTTGTTTCTGTGAAAGTTTCTCCAGGGTCTTTTTTTACTCATTTGGTAAGTCAGGCATCCAAAATCCCTCAGGTCCCTTCTAAGGACTGAGAAAAGACTGGGGAACAGAGGATTTGGGCTGGGGGTAGAGGTTAGGTCCAGAGTGGGGAAGGTAAACTAGGGATGGGGCCCTAATGTTGACTCTGCCTCCCCATCCAATTATACCTTAAGAAACAGAGGTCTAAGTATTTCCCTATTTTCACTTTGGGTCCTTTCACACCCTGCATACCCTGCTTAGAATAGGCACTCACTGTTGGAGGCAATGAGCAGCCGTCATCACCCAGCTGGAGTGGATGAGGGTGGCCCCGCACCAGTGGTGGGTCTTATACTTCAGGCTTGCCTGCCATGGCCACTGTATTAGGGTAGTTTCCTGGCCCCCGAGGATTCGTCCTTGAGTCAGAGTTTGTCCACAGGCTTGGATAAAAGGAAAAGAGATCATGCAAAGGGACTCAGGAATCCTGTCTATGATTGTTCAAAGTTCCTGACTCAGCCCCTCCGTCTCCATTTTGAGCACCAAGCTGCCCTGGCCCTTGCTGCTTCCTTTCCTCCTCCATCTTTTCCTCCATCTGTGAGAACCTGGGCTTCTGGTCCCTAGTCTGGATTTCTTACCTTTATTCAGGCCAGACCATTGAATACCTGCAGGGAAAGGGTAGGGAGGACTGAACTCTTGGGAAGCACAGCGCTCTGCATTTTAGTACTCCTGTGGATTGCCTCCTCCCTGGCCTGGACCCCATCCCTGCCCTCATCCACCCCCTCCCCTACACACGTAACATGCACCTAGCCCTGGCCTGGACCCCATCTCTGCCCTCATCCACCCCCCTCCCCCACACATGTAACGTGCTCCTACCCCTGGCCTGGACCCCGTCTCTGCACTTACTCCTCCCCTTCGACCTATCCCTGCTGAACCACCCCCCTTCACCTCACCTGTAACACTCATGCACTCATGGCCATAGTCCATCCCTCTCCTGTGTATGTACCCCCCATCCCTGCTCCACCTCCCTGCTCCGTCTCACTCTGTCCCCGGACCCTCAGAAGGACGGGCAGCAGGAGGAGTAGGCTGACCCAGCCCATTCTCTTCTAGCTTTGGGACCTCTGCTCAAGCTGGGAAGCTGTTGGAGATCTGGGCTTCTTTGCTTCCTCTCGTCATCTCCCCATGGCAGGCCCAGGGGGCAGAGTGGAGGAGGCTAGCGCCTCCTTGGTGTGGGGGATAGGAATTGTGGGAGGAGGGTGGGGGGGGAGCAGTGCCCTCACCCAAGCCCCAGTCCCTTCCCCTTCATCCTTCCTGTCCTCCCCTCACTGCGTCTGGCAATGGCCTTTATCTGTCCGGTGTGGTGGCCAGGGCTAGAGGAGCCCACTGAAGCAGGGTCGTCATGAGTCAGAGACAGCAGTCTGGGACAAATTCAGAAAGAGCACACCTCAGCAGAAGCCCCTTAGAAAGGAGAAAGAGAGAAAGACAGACAGAGTTAGAGACAGAGAGACAGAGACAGACAGAGAGAGACAGAGATAGACAGAGAGACACACACAGAGAAAGAGAGAGAGAAAGAGAGATAGAGACAGAGAGAAAGACACACACACAGGGAAACAGAGAGATAGAGACGGAGAGACAGAGACAGAGAGCAAGACAGAGGGAGATAAAGAGACAGAGAGAAATAAAGAGAGAGAAAGAGAGAGAGAAAAACAGAGAGAGAGGGGGGTATACAAATATAGAGAGAAACAAACAAACAGAGAAGCCAGAGATAAAGTGGGAAAAGAGTCAGATGGGGCACTAGTGGGTCCCTCTCCTTGCTATAATCAAGATTTGGTCTCTGATTAATTCCCTGTGGGGGATATTAGGATGGCAGAGCAGGAGTAGGGGATTGTGGCCTGGGTCAGGCCCTTGCCAGCCTCAACCTTCACACTCCACACCTCTCCTACCCCTTCTTCCCTCCCTCTAAAACAGGCCCTTCCAGGCCTAGTTCAGAAAAGACTCTCCTGCTTCTCTCAGTCTACTGCTCTGTTCAGGATGGGAGGATAAGACCCTTCCTTTTACTATTCATTTTGACCTTGTAAACATGGGGCAAGTGACATGAAATTTGAGCACAAGCCTTGAGGAAAGCTAGGGATTCTAGCACATGGAGCTAAGGAGTGAGTGAATTTCAGGCATGGGACAAGGCCAGCGTGAGGGCAGAAGGGGCAAGAGAGGGGGGCAGCTATGTGGCGCAGTGGATAGAGCACTGGCCTTGAAGTCAGGAGGACCTGAGTTCAAATTTGGCTTCAGACCAAACACTTGACACTTACTAGCTGTGTGACCCTGGGCAAGTCACTTAACCCCAACTGCCTAAAAAATAAAAAAAAGAAGGGGCAAGAGAAGGAACCCTGAGATTGGGCGACAGCGAAGAAGCCAGTTTGGCTGGAAGATAGAGTGTGTGAAGGGCAGTAATATAAAATAAGGTGACAAAAGTAGGTTTGAGCAAGATTGGGAAAGTCTTTACATGCCAAGCTGAGGAGCTGGTATCTAATCCCATCGGCATTAGGGAGCCAGTAACCTTGGATCTATGGACAGATTCCAGGAAGTCTGCAAACTTGCATAACAAAACAAAACAAAAACCATAACTGTATATCAATAGAATGGATTTCCTTTGTAATTCGACTTACTTTAATTTCATTAATTTAAAAACATTATCTTGAAAAAAGGGTCCAAAGGAGTGCAGGTCACACACACACACACACACACACACACACACACACGCACACACACAGGTACCCTAAAGCTTCCTGAACCCTACAGGTTATGAAGCCAGCTTTTCCGAAGTCTAGCATTAAACAGGGGTGCCTCAAAACGTGGATTTGTACCAACCAAAAGGACAACATCTGCCTCCTCTACACCAGCAATTGTTGTATTAAGTAAATAGTTAGAGCGTAAATCTGTGCCAGCTCCTGCAGTGGGGAAGACTTCTTCAGTACACAAGGAGTCAGAGTCTACTCTATTAAGTAAATCTTTGATAGATATGAGGGCTTCTGCATCCACCAGACCTCCTGCAATTGCTGCCACATCATTGCCCTGAACTGTCTGTAACATTCCAGCTACACGAGAGAGTGCATCCTCCCATGAAGTGTAAGTTAAAAGCCCTTTTTCATTTCTGACCATTGGCTCAGTAAGTCGTTGCCGTTTCAATCCATCATAGGAAAACCTGGTTTTATCAGAGATCCATTCTTCATTGATATCTTCATGCATCTTTGGCAAAATCCTCATTACCTCTCCTGTTCTTGTGCTGAATATATTATTACTTCCAACTGCATCCATAACATCGATAGATTCTGTCTTTCTTGTTTCCCAAGGGCGTGCAGTAAAGGCATAGGGCTTAGATGTAAGAGCCCTTACTGGGCAGATATCAATAATATTTCCAGATAATTCAGACATGACCATTTTTTCAATATATGTTCCAACTTGCGTTTCATTTCCTCTTCCTGTTGTACCCAATTCATCCACTCTCTCCTAACCCCTATAGTCAATCAATTACTTCTTCTACTCAGGTTTGAGTCTTCACTATGCTACTTACTCTCAGTGCGACCTTGGACAAATCATTTAAACTCTTTGGGTCTCAGTTTCTTTATCTATAAAATGAAAGGCTTGCACCAAATGACTTCTAAGGTCTCTTTCAGTTTGAATCTATTACCCCGTTGTATTGGAAGCTGGATTCAAGTTCACCCCATAGAGTATGCCTAGGGGATAAGGAGAGAGGGCATGAACCTGGCAACTTCCAGGGACCCTTGCGGCTCAACACAGAAGGAACTGGCACTTCAGGATAAAGCTACAAACCCTGAGTGACCCTTTGATTCCTCTCCCCTCTGACCCTGATGCCTACACCCCATCACAGCGGCAGTGGGCTGGGGCATTGTGTCATTTATAAAGAAGAGGCAGTTTTTACTCTCCTCCTGCCCTTCTTCTGACTCTTCTCAATGTGTAATGAGTGGCCTTACCTCTCTGGGACACCCCTCACCCACCAGCAGCATGGTGACGGGCACAGGACAGCTACCATTGTGGTTATTTGTGCGGTTCCACTACGATCCTTGAACTCACTCCTGTCCCCTTCTCTACATATGTCCAGTTCAGCACCTTATCCCAAGTACTTGCCTGGGTAGCTGGGACAGCCTCCTAACCGTACTTCTGGCTTCCAGTCCCTCTTCACTACAAACCATCCTCCACATAGTTGCCAAAGTGATCTTTCCAAAGCAGGCATTTGATATTGTTACCTCTGTAGGGTTCAGGAGAGAGGAAAAGTTTGAGTCTTTGAATCAGGGTGACTAGAAGGATGGTGGTGCCCGCAACAGAAATCAGACTTTTATTTCTTTATTTAAATCTTTATTGATGCCCCACCTTTTTTTTTGCATCACTTCCATTTCAATATATCCTTTCTGCCTTCCTCTCCCACAGAATTATCCTTTATAACAAGAATGGTGCAATAGCACCCTTTTCCCCCCTTGGTTAAAAACAGTTCATCATTTTAATACCAAAAGTTTCTTTAAAAAAATTTATCTGTATCTTTTCCTTATTTATCTCTCCCTTTTCCACTCTAAGAGAGCCAACCCTTATAACAAATAATATATTTAAAAAAAAGAATAAAGAAAAAGAGGAAAACCCCCAGTAAAACAGGTCAATGCAACAAAAAAAAATCTGACAATATATGAATTGTTCCACACATCTGAAAAAAGTGATAATTTTGTTTCTTATTTTCTTCTTTCCTCAATTTCTTTTTCTTGCTATTGTTACTACTAACATTTCTAGCACCATCCCAAATAGTAGTGTTAATAAGGGTATCCTTCCTTCATCCCACGATTTTATTGGAAAGACATTAATCTCCGTTACAGATCACATTTTCTGTGTTTCTGTTTCTCCTGGTACCCTATCCCTTCTCTGAAGGTGCTCAGTCTCCTAACTTGACCCTTTATCTTCTGACAACCCTCCCTTGACAGTGTCCAGTCTCCTGGTTCTTTTCCCCAACTACAATCCCATCCAACTTGTTCTCAGATAAAGTTTAACTGAGCTACCCAACAAGAATTTTAATGGGTTGCCTAATGAATGTAGTACACATACTGTCGCAATGTCCTACTCACTGAGTAGCAGGTGCTTATTCCCATCTGGATTCCTGAATCTTTAGGAGCCCAAGAAGACCAGAAATTCTGGGCTGTAGACTTAGGGTCAAATCTACGGTAAAGGGAGCTGGGTCCCTGATAATAGTTGGTGACTTGGGGGCCTTTTAAAGAGTGCAGAGGCAAAACTTTGTGTCTTCCAGCCTTCCAGGGTTTGAACAGAGAAGTCACTGAGGGGGGATCTGACCAGAGGAGCTTTGGGCTCCCCAGCACTAGCCCATGAAGGTAGACTAAATTATCTTTGCCAAAGCTGATAGCCTTGGAGGAAGCTTTGGCCCTTTAGCTGGGCTACAGCCACACTCACCACATACCCATTGAGATCACTCCCAGGAAGGAGAGAATGGGGCTGCAGGAGAGAGGGAAAGAAAAGTATCCCAAAGAGGCCCGTGGCAGAGGTGCTTGAATCATTGTCTTCAACTTTTTTTGGGCTTTTCCAATAGATCAATCAATCCAATAGTGTCAGGGTAGAGACTTGGGTGTTCGGGAATCATATTTCATAATTCTAACTCATAATCTTATCATGGAGCTAGATATCCTTGACCTTATACACTAAGATCTCTTCCTTCCTCCACCTCTATCCTTCAGTCACTTTGAGGATGAGAGGAGGGTCAAATTGGCCAAAGGATTGATCATGAGAAAACATAGTCCTTAGTGAAGGGATGGAAAGTCTAGGGAAAGGCACACAGTGGGGATTCCTGGACTGAATCTAAGGTATGGGGCAAATGTAGATGCTTGAGTTCAGTGAGGAGGTTTTGGGAAGATGGACATATCCAGGTTCAGTGTGAGGTATAGGCAGATGGGGATGTCCCTCCCCTCCAGCTACCTCTTACATGAATCACCCTATTTCTAACAAGAGCAATGTAATTGCTTCGTTATAATGTTTACACAAGTGTAAACCTTGTGATAAAGTAATAGGTCTGGCCTAGGGGAATTCTTTACAATGCTCTCCATATTTCCCACCTTAGTCAAGCCTATCTTCTCACTGTCCTTAGCACCTGCCATGCATCCTGGCCTCCCCATCTTTTCATCTATGCCAACTTTGTCCCTTCTTCAGCTCTTTATCCTGGAAGTACCTGCTTATGTCCACTCTCTTCCATATTGCCTTGTCCTATAGTCCTGTCCATAGTCATCTTCCTTGCCATTTCTAGCTCTCCACCTTTGCTCTCAAAAAGAAGGATCAGGTCACAGCTGGCGTGCTATGTCTGGAGCAGGGTGAGAATAAAGTGGATGGAAGAGGGAAAAGCTCAGTCTTTACTAAGCTTCTGTCCTGCCATGGTGGAAAGGGAAGAAGAGGGACCAAGTTTCTACCTCACTTCCTCACTTCCTCCTTGATTACTCTCCACCCCTGTAGCCACACCTGTGGTAGTTTTGCTCCTGTGTATTTTCCAACTCTACTGCCAAAGACTCATATGAGGGTTTCATCTTTGCAGTTAGATCAATCCTTTTGCCTCTAGCACGAGGCCCATTGAAACTACTTTTGAAGGAAGCTATTTCCCTAAATGAATACTGGGTCATCTTGTAAAAGACCCCAAGTTCCAATACTCTTGCTTGGCCATCACACAACCTTGACTTAGACTCCCCTCCCAGAATTCTCACCAGTGATACCTGGCTTTCTCCTCAGGCTTGGGCATTCCTCCAAGTTCTGTCCCTACACTCCCTACCAGGAAGTTATCGTCAGTATAATCAATGTTGAAATCAATAACATTTTATTGCCACTGTAAGCCACTCTCCAAAAGGACCTCTTGGCAGAAAGACAAATGGTCCTGACAATCTCCCCATCCCTACCTTCTCTTGCACCACTTATTTCTCTGAACCTGGTATGTGTTTCCCCATCCCAGGAAATAGGGGCCCTCATACATCCTTTCAAGTGAGTAAAGGAGGTAAGAGCCCTGGATATGGCAGTCTTAGCCAAGTACTGTACTTAGCTGTACTTAGCCAAGCCTCAAGGAGGAAGAACTAAGCATGTGCTCAGAAGTGCTCTAGAAGAGCTTGGGGTAGAAGCAAGGCAAGGAGAGTGAACTTGAATGGACTCAGCGTGGTGCTGCTGCTGATTATTTTCTCAACCCAGGCACTGTAAAGGGCAAGACTGGTGAAAGTCTTGGTCTTGATTGCTGCCATACAGCCACGGTCCCAATTCATGATCCCAAACTGGTAATAGACATCCTGAATCTGACATATTAGGGGGCCACCTTGGTCGCCCTGGGGAAAGAAGAAAGGCCGGTGAGGAAGAAATTAGTTGTGGTGAGACTTCTAGGTCTATGAAATAGGGAAGCTTAGGTCCAGTGTGGTTCTTAGGGGTGGGAAGACCTGGGTCCAGTGTAGGGTACTGGGGATGCTTGGGTTTCTTTGGAGTCATTAGGTAAATAGGGATGACTGAGTTTTATTGGGCTGTCTCTTACCACACATCTTTCAGCTGGATATAACGGCGTGAGTACACAAAGCATGTCATTGCGGTAGGTTTCAGAGTCTGAGAGCTGCCCCAGGGGACCTTGGACATTTTCATACCTGTCTAAGTCAGTAATTTTCACTCTTCCCTCCCGAAGTTCCATGGAACCTTCTAGGGCTAAAGAAACATGACAAAAAGACATCAGTGTTAAAATAAGGGACACTGAGAAGTAACAAACAGGCTGTTGTCAATTCTTGTGTAACTTAATGGTCCCATCTTGATTGGTGCTCATAACTAAGGAGTGCAGAGTGGCCTAGAGAGCCATGCCTCCTGGTCTCCCCACATCTGTTCTTGTGGTGCCCACTCAGCCACCTCTCCTTTTTTTTTTTTTATGCTGGGATTCCTAACTTCTTCCATGTTGCCTTCCTCTGTGGACTTCCCCTAAATCCAGGAAAACAAAACAAAACTAGGTGTATTCCTTTGTAGCTCTTGTCTTTGTGTGGGTTTGCCTGAGGGTCTGGGAATCAGAATATCACAGATGAAACAGTGAAATCACAGAATAAAAGTCTAAATGCCATATCCTAGCATTCAAGACCCTTCTCAGTCAGCTCCACCTTTCCACTCCTGTGCTCCAATATGGACATTCTTCTTTCCCCAGTCAAGTCCATCTACTCACTGTCCCTATGCTTCTTGGCCCACCTTTGCTCATGCGGTGCCCACTTTGCCACCTCTCCATCTCTCTATCTTGGGAATTATAACTTCAGTCCAATCCCTTCCATAGCTCTACACAGAGTGATCTCTCTCCTTGGAATTTACTGCTGATATCACTTCTATTCTAAGCCACTTTTGGTATAAGGAATCCTACTTAATATTGCTACCAAATGTTCATGTCTAGTCTCCACAGTGAAATGGAAGCTTAATAGTGGCAAGGCTTGTTTCTTATATCTCTTTGTACTGAGTCCTTGCACAGTGCTGGGAAGGTGGCATCCTTTCTAGAGAAGAATCATGGATATCATTTTTAAATTTGCAGAGGACTTTCTATACACTATAGAGAACTGTCCTGGTGTAATGCCAAAGTGCTTGACTGAATCCAGAAGAAAAGGGTTCAGGTGTGTTCAAAGGCACACCTGCCTTTGACGCTTCTGATTCTAGATTTAGAGTTGGAACAGAACTTACAGGTAACTGAGTACAACCCGCTTATTTTTACAAATGAAGAAACCGAGGCCCTGAGAAGTTAAGTGACTTGCCCAAGATCACATGGCTAATAAGTGGCTGAGACAAGATTCAAATCCAGGTCTTTTTGACTTCAAGTCCAACACTCTACCTATTATATACCATGTTGCCACTTATTTGCTGTGTGAGTGGGCAAATCACTTAATCTCTCTCTGAGCCTCAGTTATTTCATCTGTAAAATGGGGATCCTAATAGCACCTACCTCACAGGGCTGGTGTAAGGATCGAATGAGATAATTCATATGACATCCTTTACAAACCTTAAAACACTATATGAACACGAACTCTCATTGTCTCACTTGAACATCACAACATCATATAGTTACTGTTGGTATTATTATCCCCCTAGGAGGTAGGTACTCCAGGAATAATTATCCCCATTTTACAGAAGAGTAAACAGGGGCTTAGAGACGTTGTGACTTGCCCATGGTGACATAAGTAGTAGGGTTGGCAACCAAACCCAAGTTTTCCTTCCGTGAGGCTTCTCTCTCCAGTGTATTGACTCACATTCCACCAGTCTGAAAAACACCAGTTTGAATTGAACTGACTTCCTTCTCCGAAGTCCCTGATAGATTTCCTGGGATGGGGATGATGCTTTGAAATTTTGTCTAAGAGGCATTGTTCTTGCAGTTTCTGTGAGGGTCCAGGGAGTGAACTAAAGAGTAGAGAAATAAATGAGATCTCTCAACCGAGCAATGTTTGGGAGCAAAAGAGGGAATGACTAGTGCTAGCAAGCAGTGGAAATCCAAGGTCCTTCCAGACTGATGGCAGTGGGCTTGGCCTACCTAGTGAGGGAGATGCAGCCAACTTTTCAGTGGTGTCATCCAAGTACATGGTCCTAGCACCCTTAGATAAGGCTTACCTTGAGATTCTCCGAATTTTCCCCATCCTGTTATCTAGCACTGTCTGATTAATTTCAATTCCCAGGATCCTAGTGGGAGGCAGACCGGTGAAATATGTCTTCAGTATGGGATTGGTTGGCTCAGCTTTACTACGGCAATGTCTGCAAACTGGTAAGGAACATAGTCAGGCCTAATGTAGATTTTAGTCACCTTGGGGTAGTATTCTCGGTGCTGTAGAAATGTGGGCATGAAGCGAGTGGTTGGGTAGGCATAGACAGAACCAATCATCACACTGTAATCCCAAGTGTCATTGGACCTGATAGAAAGAAAGCAGATACCCAATGGCCTTGAAGTCAGCAGAGGCCCTCCATTGTTGACCCCGTGGGTCCATCTTGACTTTTCACCAGCCCCACCCCTAAGAGAGCACTTACAATCGGAAGCAGCTGGCAGCTGTTATTATCCATTCAGGCTGGATTAGGGTGGCACCACACCAGTGCTTGCCTTTATACCAAAGGCTAGCTTGCCATGGCCAACGTCCACGCCGGGGTTCTATGGTGAAATCCCGGGGTCTGAGCTTTGGACGTCCACATACTGTGGGGGGAAGTAAAGGTCTCCTAAGAACAGGCCACCAGTCCTGCCCCACTGCCTTCTAATTCCCAGCCAACCTTCCCCTGAAGAGCTTGGCATTCTGGCTCTGTTTTTAGTTAGCAGGTCATGCCCATACCAAGGACTAGGCCTCCCTTTCTTCTGAGGCCCCTGGCTTCCTACTTCTACATCCCACTTCCTCATGTCCCTTACCTGAAACCTGTTCCATTGCCAGGACACCTGCCCCTTTACTCTCCTCCCTCCATCTAGTTTCTTTATTTTCCAAAATTTTAGACTTCTGGACCCCAAGTCTTACCTTCATACATATCTTTATCTCGTTCATCTGGCAGAGGGGCAAGGGAGAGAAGGGAAAGTTGTTATTGGCCACAGACTTGTCTCAGCAATAAATTGTGTGTGTGTGTGTGTGTGTGTGTGTGTGTGTGTGTCTGTCTGTGTGGTTTATGTTGGGAATTAAGTTCTTCCCTCCTCAAACCTTGGGGGAGGTTTACTGCTGTCCTCAGCTCTGTCCCCCTACACTTAGGGGGTCACCACTGCCCTCAGCTCTGCCCCTTATACTTAGGAGTCACTGTTATCCTCAGCTCTGCCCTGAGCTCTGCCCCTTTCACTTGGGGGGTCACCGCTGCCCTCAGCTCTGCCCCCTGCACTTGGGGGTGGTCACCGCTGCCCTGAACTCTGTCCCCTGAACTTGGGGGTGGTCACCGCTGCCCTCAGCTCTGCCCCCAGCACTTGGGGGGTCACTGCTGCCCTCAGCCTGCCCCTGCACTTGGGGGTGGTCACCGCTGCCCTCAGCTCTGCCCCCAGCACTTGGGGGGTCACTGCTGCCCTCAGCTCTGCCCCCTGCATTTGGGGGATCACTGCTGCCCTCAGCTCTGCCCCCTGCACTTAGGGGGTCACCGCTGCCCTCAGCTTTGCCCCCTGCACTTGGGGGGTCACTGCTGCCCTCAGCTCTGCCCCCTGCACTTGGGGGGTCACTGCTGCCTTCAGCTCTGCCCCCTGCACTTGGGGGGTCACCACTGCCCTCGGCTCTGCCCCCTGCACTTGGGGGGTCACTGCTGCCCTCAGCTCTGCCCCTGGCCGTCCCTGCTCACAGGCCTGGTCAATCTGCAGCAGCAACAGGGGCAGCAGGAGGGCCAGGCGGGCCCAGGCCATCTTGTCCTCGGCCTGGCTCTGGGGGCTGGCTGCCCTCCCCTCTCCTTCCCTCAGCTCTGGGTAGCCCTCTAGCGCCCCCTGCAGGTGTGGAAGGCTGCCAAAGCCTGGAGTCTGGCATGGGGGTGGGGTGGGGGCAGGAGCCTACCTGCTGTCTTGAGGCCCTGACCAGCTGCGAAGGTCTCTCCCCAGCCAGACTGGCCTCTGCCTGTGCTCTGGGCTGAGGCAGGGGGCTGGCCCCAAAGACCTGACCCCAGTGCACCGGAGCCCCAGTGCTGGTTCCCAGTCTTCCCGGCTCTTGGGCCCTGTCAGTGGCCCAAGTTTAGACCCCCAGACCTCTTCTAGCAATGGCTTTCTACCTCCCTGTCACACTAGGGTCAGGCAGGGCCTTGGCCTTTTTTGCATCCCTAACCCGAGTGGTGGCTTGAGCAGTTGGCAGCACCTGGTTCTCCCCCGGAGCATGCTGGTAAACGTTTCATAGTGCCATATGTTTAATTGCCAACATTTTCGCAAGTCGAAACAACCAACAAAGCGGTCCAGCCCTGATTTCCAGGGTGCAACAGTCAGCTCTCCCAAGCAGAACTGAGCTGTTTCCAGTGTGCTCCTGAGTCATTGCTGCTGGAGCTGGGCTTTCCAGCATGCTGAGATGGGGGAGTGAATTCTTTAGAGGCATTAGGGATGCCCTGGGTAAATTTATGCAAATCCACGGAGGTAGGAGAGAGCAGGAGAAGATTGGCAAGGGCAGGCAGTCCAGAAAGGCTCCACCACAGTATCTCTTAAGAGGCCTAATATTAAGCAAAGCTGGAAGGTAAGCTGGAGCCAGACTGGAGAATTCTTGATTACTAGGAAAAATTATCTTATTTTTTTAAAGAAATGTCATTCTATGTTTTGTATATTCTATTCTATCTTATAATATGTTTTATATTATATATTATGTTATGTTACATTACACAATATCATGTCATGTCATGTCATATCATATATGATATGATATGATATGATATGATATGATATGATATGATATGATATCCCCATTTCACCCCAGACTGACATTTCACAGACAGGCCTCTTAAACTGATCAGCATGGGAATTTTGACCTGCTCTACTTCTGACTTGGGCAGATTTTCCCCTCCTCAGGCCACCTGGTTGCCTTTGTCCCCAAGGCTTCACTATACTGCGATGGACTTATCAGCCTAGCTCACTACGGCTCGGAAGTCCCAACCTCTAGAGATTCACCAGTTTTAGTTTCCCTTAGTAGCTGAGACTACAAGTGTGTACCACCATGCCTGGTTATTTTATTTTTCAAAAAAGTTTTATTGATGCCTTTGGTTTGCACTTTATAATAATTTTTGGTTATATCCCCACTAATCCCACTTCTCCCCAAACCCTTCCCCACAGAACTGAACTCTCCTTTATAACAAAGAAAAGAAGTAGGAACAACTGATCACAATTACTTAGAACTCAGGTTCCTTTTGGTGTGCCTTTTTATTTCTTTTGTTATAGTCACTATATATGTTCTTCTGATTTTTTTCTGCTTGCTTCCTCATTTTTCACCTGGCTGCACTACTTTGAGACTTTTCTGATTGATTTCTCCACCGTGCTCCAGGAAACTCATTATTGGGATAACTTCTTCATTCTGGAAGATTCCATCAACGTTTGGACTCTACTTCATCACTTCCCTCTATCTCTCTGACTGGAGAGTGGGACCGTGATCTCCAAACTTTCATTTAAGGAGAGAGATCAGCTCAGACATTTCATTTCTCAGGGAGCTTCACTACTTTGGGACTGACCAGCTTCTCTACCATTCCCCTAAGTCAGGTACCTTCTCCTCCTCCATCTCCTCTTCTCCTTTTCAGCCTCCTTTGGTATTTTGTCTTCCCTCATTAGATTGCAAGTTCCTTGAGGGCAAGGACTGTTTTTTTTTCCCTTATTTTTTTCCCTAACATTTAGCACAGTGCCTGGCACATAGTAGGTACTTAACAAATGCTTGTTGACTGATTGATTGGTTCTGCTTATTTTTACTCTATCAGTTTATATCAGTCTTCCCATATTTCTCTGAATTTTCATATAAATAATTTTACTGCACAATAATATTCCATTATATGCATACACTAAATATTCAGTTACTCTTCAACTGATGGGCAGTCAGTTTGTTTCCAGTGGCCTGCTTCAACAAAAAGTGTTGCTGTGCATATTTTGCTGTAAATGAGGCCTTTTATTATATATTCAGTAATAGGATTGCTGGGCTAAAGGGTAAGAACAGTGTAGATACTTTGCTCAGATGATTCCAAATTGCTTTCCAGAATGGTTGAACCAATTCAAAGCTCTGCCAATGGTGTGTCAGCATGCTTGTCTTCCTTTCCAGTTTCTGTCATCTTTTTCAATTTGGTAAGTGTTAGATGAAACCTGAGTTATTTTAATTTGCATTTATCTTATTAATGTTTTAGAGCATATTTCATACAGTCATTGACAGTTTGCAATTCTTGTTTTAAAATTTATTCGTTTCCTTTGAACACTTATCAACTCGGGAATGTATCTTGGGCTTATATATTTGTGTTGATTTCTGATATATCTTCAATATCAGACTTCTCAGAGATGATTGATGCAGATTTTCCCCCACTCAACAGTGTCTCTTATTCTATCTACATTGATTTTCTTTGTGTAAAAATTTTACATACCTGAAATTCTGTATTGTATAAATAACTACCCTCTACCCCTTGTTTAATCAGTAATCCTCTCTCTGACCATAGCTGTAAAGTGGTACCCACTTTTGTTCCAGTTTTTTAACCAGTTACCAAACAGTTTTGATGATTGCTATTTACAATATCATTTGAGGCATGGAAATTTTATTGTCTCTTCCTACCTTTTTTTCTTTCAATCAACATGCATTTTTTGTAAGTTTACCCAGTGCCAGACACTGTGCTAAATCCTAGAGATATAAAGAAAAGGTATAATAGTACCTCCCCTTGTGGGGTAGCTAGGTGGCACAGTGGATAGAGCTCCAGCCTTGGAGTTGGGAGGACCTGAGTTCAAATCTTGTCTCAGATGCTTGACACTTACTAGCTATGTGACCTTAGGCAAGCCTAAGTCACTTAACCCAAACTGCCTCACTAAAAAGGCAAAAAAAAAAATAATACCTCCCCTTAAGGAGCTTACATTTTTAATGGAGAAGACAATGTGTATATGTACATACAAGTTTATCTATAGAACATATACAAAATGAATGCCAGGTAATTTTTAAAAGGGATACCTTAGCCACTGGGAGGGAGTAGAGGGACCAGGAAAGGCTTCAAGAAGAAGGCCATAGTTTAGCTAAGTCTTGAAGGAAAGCCAGAATTCCAAGGAGGTAGTGTTGAGAAAGGAGTACATTTTAGGCACAGGGCCACATGGCCTCAAAGGGGAGGAGTCTCTCTCTTTCTTTTTTTTTTTTGAGTTTGTTTTTGCTAGGCAATGGGGTTAAGTGACTTGCCCAGGGTCGCACAGCTTGTGAGTGTTAAGTGTCTGGTCTGAGACTGGATTTGAAGTCAGGTCCTCCTGACTCCAGGGCAGGTGCTCTTTCCATTGCACTACCTAACTGCCCCAGAAGGGAGGAGTCTCCAAAGCCTCTATGCATCCAGCATCATCTCTTAGTGGCACCAGATGCTATGACAGCAGCTGGCATAACACCAGAATAAACTGAAAGTGAGAATGAACTCGGCCGTTTTGAAGATGCTCCTAGTTCTTCTTAAGGTTCTTCTTAACCATGTGGTTAGCAGACCAGAACCAGTTATAGAATATCCACACATGTTCCCCAATCTCTCTGAAGCCCACATTATCACAACTCCCCACAAAGTGGTCCCCTCAGCTTCTCCATGTAGGGGAGGTGTCATCCCAGGTGCTCTGGGCATGTTATATTTAAAACAGAAAGGGCTTATCATAACACATTAACAAATAGAACATTATCTTGTACTGTCCTGGGTGATGGAGACAATTTCATGGGACTGAAGAACAGATATTTCACATTCACCTCAGATCTGCGCTGTGGGAGCGGTTCATAAAATCTGGATCTCCTGGTTAGCCAGGCATGGCTCTTTAGGACTTCCATGTTCAGTATGACCCTGTTAGTAAGTCATGTTTCTCCAAAAGTGGCAAAGTTGCTGGAAGCATTACCTGCTGGTCAGTGATAACCAATTTAGGAACTCTACGCTCTTGAATTTATAAGATTACCTTTTGGGAAAGAAATGCAAAACAGAAGAGACAGCGAGGGACTTCACTTTTCCATCTCAGGCTCTATCAAATACATTATATTCCGTTCCATGTACTCCAGGGTATAGATGTCATGGTTGCTGGGCCTCTAGCAGAAAAGAAATATCTCCTCTCTCCTCTTCTCTCCATCCTTCCCAATATTTTTCCCTAAAAGTTCATCACCTCTGGTGCTGAATGTTCCCCTTTAACAACAAGCCTCAGTCATATGGACACATAAGGACTAGTCACAAATCATTGTGTCATCTCAGCAAAGTGAAGCCCCTGTCTATCAGTAACAGGCCAGTATGCATCTCCAAGGAGCCAGAGCACATGCCCAGTTCCATGGGATTGCCCTTGTCAAGCAGATTAAAGGATTCTCCCCTTTCCCCCACTACACATATACTTCCCAATTTTAATTGGTAAAAGCTAGATTATAAATCAGATATTGGCTATCTTCCTCCTAAATACTAACCAGCTCTGAGGTTTTAGGTTCTCCAGTGTTTGTATCCTAAGCCTCTTTTATTCTCCCACATAGATGATAGAGTGAGGAGAAGCAAGTTGAACCCAAGGGGGTAAAGTCATTATCTCCTCATTTTTAAAAACCACATTCCTGGGCTTTCCATCTGCAGATGTAGCCAGCCAAAGTCTCCGAGGACCTTTAGGCCCTCTTTTACATATAAATCCTACATGTATTCTGTTGTCTTCCAGATATTTTGCGCATTTTAAAGTTATTTTGCATTGGAAGAATTTGCATTTTACCTAGCTAGCAATTTGGATGTACTGGAAATAGTTGAAGAGGGAATTAATTTGATCAGATTTGTGCGTTAGGAAGATTGCTGTGGTAGTGGTGTGAAATTTATATATAGAGAAAGCAGGGACTGGAGCCAAGGAGACCAGATAGGAAGCTATTATAATACTCTAGGCTAGAGGTTTACATTTTCCCACTTTATTATAATGAAATTGACAAACATGAGCATTTCCACATACAAAAAAAAAGGAAAAAAAAGAACTGCATATAAAACTGTGCCTATTGAGGCACTATTGATTTTATTTTTAATTTTCTTAGCATATTTCAAATTTCACATGGTAGTTCTATCACTGCTCTTTTCTTCTGTATCCCCTTCTAAACTTCCTTCTCCTCTTTTCTGTGTATGTTTTAAATGATTCATTAATTTCCTTCTATAGTGAGATTGAACTGATCTCTATGGGCCATCTCAGGCCATCTCTATGTGCCCAGAGCTTTCTTCTAAGCTGCCAAGGACTCCAGCTACATGGTGATTCAACATACGGACTCTTTGGGAACGTCAGGCTTTTTGGTTGCTTCTGGCCATGTGCTGAAAGAACTTGTCAATTGTTGTAATGCTGAAAATCTAAAGTGGTTTCTTGGTCCTTCCCCATCCCATTACAGTAGCAGGTGTGTGATGGTGTTGCAACAATTTAAAGAAGAGGTGGCTTCTGGTTTGTTTTCTTCTTTTGATTCTCTGGCTGACATCATCTAATTCCTGGACTTCTCATGAGGGGGTGGGGTGAATCCTCCCCATATGGCAGCCAGAGCAGCAGCATTCAATGAGGCAGGCTTGCACTTGAGCCCCTGGGTTATTTTTTTTCTCTTCCAATTTGGGCTTCTTTTTCTGAATAGACAGCAGACTATCAGTCTCCTGGACGTGTCCAGGCTTTGAGGTGACTTTGTTGGTATGAGGAGTCTGTAGGTGGGGCTCAGAAAAGGAACATAAATACCCAAGGATCACCAGTTAGGCAATTTGTTACTCAAAGACACATGAGCTCCTCAGCCCTTAAGTCTCATAGGCAAATATGTATGGCTGCATACAGTGGCATATGTACCTCTGCCAATAAGGAGCCAATTTGGGTCCTTATATCTGATAGTTGTTGCTGGGCAGATTCTCAGGGACCAAGGAGGAGTGGGTGCCTTTGGGGCAGTCAATCAGGTCATAGAGGCTTAGCTTGGAACTCTCCTTAGTGATCACACTGTTGCTGTTTTTCAGTCATTTCAGTTATGTTCAACTCTTCTTCACCCCATTTGGGGTTTTCTTGGCAAAGTCGTTTGCCATTTTCTTCTCCAGCTCATTTTATAGATTAGGAACTGAGGCTAACAGGGTTAAGTGACTTATCCAGGGTCACACAGTAGGTGTCTGAGGCTAGATTTGAACTCAGGAAGATGAGTCTTTCTGACTTCAGGCCCCACACTTTCTCCAGTGTGCCATCAGGTTGCCCTTTTGCTGATCACAACGGCATTGCAATTAGGAAAGTTTGCTAACATTGCCTACGTGGATTGGGTGAAGTCTGATCAACTGATTATAATCAGGGTAGCAATGAATTCATTGCCTAAATGGAGCTAACCAATCCTGTTACAGAATATGTAGGAATTTGCTCATACATAGCTAGGTCATTCAGTGGTCAAACATGGAATCACTTCTGTCAGCTAGGACCTAGCAGTAGGCCAGTCCTTAGAGTGGGTTTGAGAGAAAATAGCACAACTTATTACCTGGCCACATCTGAAGAATTTTCAAGAGCCAAAGACTTTTCTAGGATGTGATAATTCCTACTGGAGATTGGTAGAGAGGTGGGCCTTCACTGTGAAGACTCTTAAAGCCTCATGGGCATGAGGCTTTAAAAAAAAAAAAAGCAGAAGGGCAAAAATAGACAATTTGTTTTGAACCTGCTGGTACCATTTGGAGATTGTTGGAGTAAGAAATGAGAGCAGAACTTTGTCTACTGCTTTATAAATGTCCCAATGTTGGTGTTTGCAGATCTAAGCAAGCCCCTCATGCTATACTGAAGCCTGCTTGGAGTAACAGTTAGTAACCGTTTTATATTAAGAAAGTGATGGCCATCAGAAGCATTTGACGGTAGAGGAATCATTGACCATAAGAGTATCCTATCCACAAATTGGAATTCTTGCCTTTGAAGTCATTGATAAATTCTGAGATTGTATATAGAGTTTAAAGACAGCTGGTGGTTCAGTGGATAGAGCGCTGGGTCTGCAGTCAAGAAGACCTGAGTTCAAATCCAGCCTTAAACACTTCCTAGCTGTGCGACCTTGGGCAAGTCACTTAACCTTTGATTGCCTAACAAAGTGGATCTACTGGAGAAAGAAATGGCAAACCACTCTACAATCTTTGCCAAGAATACCCCAAAGGGGATCATGAAGGGTCAGTCATGACTGAAATGGCAACAACAACATGTGGAGTTCAAGTGTGGGCAGACAATAGTCCATTGGATATTTCATTAGCACTGTTAGATGCTGCCAATCAGTGATGGGTAGGGCACTGACCAAATGGAAATGCAGTGTTCATTACCAGCTAAGAAAAACCAATGGGGATGCAGAGGACCTGCACTATTGGCCAAAGGTTTTCCTTATGAAAGGAGTAAAGGTGATCTATGACAGTTAGGGAACCAGACCACGAAATCATTAAAGGATATGAACATTGTAGTATTGGACCAATCTTTTCTGTCCTCCTTGTCCTGTGATAATTGGCAGCAAGAAAACTTGCAGTATGAAGGCCTTTGAGAAGTGATGGTTCTTGGTTTTGGCTCTTCCCAGACTGGCTGGTGTTGTAGAAGGAAGATGATCTGCTATGGGCCTCTAGGTTGAAGAGGGGCCTTGAGACTTCTCTTAATTAGAACCAGCATGAAGCCAAGAGAGCATGACCCTGCTTTTGTTGTTTCTGTTATCTCTATTGAGTTTATTTTTTCCTGTTTTTAGGTAAAAGAAATCAGATATGATTATGACCTTATAAGCTTCAAAAGGTCAGAATATTGAGTCACCAGAGGTCTGGGAGCTAGAGTCCATACTGGGGATTTCTGGAAGCCAGATGATGAGGAATAAAGTTATCAACAACTGTGCTGACCCAGCCCAGCAGTAGAAGAGATGCAAATTCATCCATCCATCCATCCATCCATTCATCCATCCATCCATTCATCCATCTATCCATCCATTCACCCATCCATCAGCTATACCTTATTTGAAAGTGATCATGGTGGGGTGAATGCTATGCAGTGTGTTCAGCTTGAGCCCTCTTTTCCCAGGACTGGGGTGATATAGAGGAGAATGTGCTTCAGGTTTTGGGGGCAATTATAAATGTAAATCACTGTAACTTTTGTTCCTGTTATTTGTTGGCAGTAAATATCTCTTTCTGAAAGTGTGATAGTGATAGAGAGAGACACATACACACACACACAGATAGGCAGACAAATAGGGACAACTGAGTCAGAAATAGAGAGAGAAGTGATGGGGAGAATGTGCCTCAAGATATTGGGGAAACAATTGTAATTTTGGTTCTTGATATGTATCTTGGCAGTAAATATTTCTTTGTGAAAGTGGTTGTGTGTGTGTGTGTGTGTGTGTGTGTGTGTGTGTGTGTGTGAGAGAGAGAGAGAGAGAGAGAGAGAGAGAGAGAGAGAGACAGAGACAGAGACAGAGACAGAGACAGAGAGACAGACAGAGAGAAGCGACAGAGAGGTGGCAGAGGTCAAGAAAAGAGGATGTGATCCTCAGGGATACAACCTTTCCTCCCCAGAGGGCTCCCTGTTATACAACTATAACTGAGCCAACGTAAAGTAGAAGAAGCTAATTGCTATCGCTACATGGCTGTGACAGATGATATCTGGGGAAATTTGCCAACGCTTCCAACTCTCCCAGGACTTACCCCACCCCAAGATGAGGAGAGATCTGAACTTCATATCTATCTCCTAAAGGAGCATCAAAAGGTCTAAATAATTCTTCATACTTCCCTTGTGGTCACTCCCAGTTTTAAACCCTTTATAATAGGCAGTTAGGACACTCAGAAAATGAACCTCTTAAGGTCTCACATCCTTTAGGAAGTGTAAATGCTACCACTCCAAGTGTGAAAGGGACAACACTTTAATGCTTCATTGTGTCTGTTGCTGGGCAGTTGGGGGGGAGACTCAAATAATGAGCCCTGACTTCTTCCCCCTCTCCCCACACCCCATGTTTAGCAATATTATAAATTCAAAGACCTCCTGTCCTAATAATTTTGCAATTATTTGGATTTCTGAGAGCTGCAACACCCTTATCTCATCCTGGAGTCCTTGATGCTGTGTGACTGATATTGTTTCACATGACTAATGTGTCTTAATTTGTTTTCCCTTTCTGTTAAATGAACAGTCTGTTCTTGAGTTACAACTATAATGTAAGATTGTAAGTAATTATAGATAACTGCTTGGACTTCTGTAGAAGATCCTTGGAAAGGCGCATGAACTACTAGACTTCTATTTTGAGTTGAGATTCTTGGCTTGGTAAAGGAGAATCCCTGCTGGTCAATCATCTACTACGTAATTATGGGATAAATTAATAAATTTGTGTTTTCAATAGATTTAATTACCTAAAACACAATGCAAAATGACTCCGTTTATTTAAATGACCTAAGAGTCTGTTGTATCAGGTTTCCCATGTAGGTTAGGCTAGTTCTTCTGAAAGGTGACAAAGTTTTGCCTCCCTTAATGGCAGCTTCCTGGTAGTCTTTTAGCCTACATCAGTAGCTTCCTCATTGCCTGTGGAGTTAGGACCTTCCAACTTGGTTGATATTCCAAGGCTGCCAGATCACCCCTTTGTCTCCCACTGACTGGATTTGTTTCTGTATGGAGGTGAGGGGAGCTATGTGTTTACTCATGCTAAATGCTGCTATATCCTTATTAAATGGTCTTTTTATGCCATGGTTAAGCAAACCTTCTGGGTAACTATTGAATGATCTAGAGTCTCTCATTTAGGTCCAATACCAAACCTAAACTAATGAGTAGGACCTGAATCAGACCTACCCATTACAGGGGGGCAAGACCTCCAAGGACCTGAGATATCAAGGCCTAATTTCTTTTTATTTTTTTAAATTTTATTTATTCTTTAAAATTTTATTAATTTATTTTGATTTATCAACAATCACTTCCATATGCTTTTGAGTTGAAAATTTTTCTCCCCCTTCCTTGCTTCCACCCTCCCCAAGACGGTGCACAATCTGATATAGGCTTTATCAAGGCCTAATTTCTCAGACATGATTCTCAATCCCTATCCCATGGGATCATCTCACCCCAAGCTAGGGATGTGGAGGAGGGAAGAAAGAACATCATTTTCCTTTCTTTTCTTCTTCTTCTTCTTCTTCTTCTTCTTCTTCTTCTTCTTCTTCTTCTTCTTCTTCTTCTTCTTCTTCTTCTTCTTCTTCTTCTTATTTTTAAATTAAAGAACATCATTTTCCTAGCCTATATCCTGAGGAATAAACACCAGAAGCATTTTTCATTCCAAGGAGAACTTTTTATGAAGGAGAACTCCCAGTGCTGACTGGGAGTCCTTCCCCCTAGGGTTCTGAGAAAGGGAGTGGGAGACAAAGAGAAAGACAGAGACAGAAAGAGAGACAGAAACAGAGAGAGAAAGAGGGAGACAGAGACAGAGAGAAGTAGAGAGAGAAGAAGGAGAGAGAGAGAGAGAGAGAGAGAGAGAGAGAGAGAGAGAGAGAAGCAGATAGATTGCAGCTCAGAATTGGAAGGGATCTCTAAAGACCTCAGGAGATCTGAGTTCATATCTTACATCATTACTTACTAGCTCTGTGATGCTGGGGAAGTCACTAACTTCTCTGTGCCTCAGTTTCCTCATCTAAATGGGGATAATAAATTATACAAATAAACATATTAAATGAGGGTAAAATATGGATAATAATAGAACCTGCCTCAAGGGTTGTTATGAGGATCTAATTACTTAACACACATAAAAGGCTTTGTAATGCTATATAAATACTAGCTATTATTATTATTACTTGAGTGAGTCCTCTTCTGATTCTCCAGTTTTCATGCCCATTCTCATCATTGTGTATTTATTTCATCTCTGTCCCTCTGTCTCTCATTGTTTCTGTTTGTCTTTCTGTCTGTCTCATTTTCTCTCTCTTCTCTATGCTATTTATGAATATCTTGTATTCCCTTAGTAGAATGAAAACTCGTTGAGGTCAGGGCAGTTGTTTCACTTTTGTATTTGTCTATTTTGTAGTAGTAGAGGCTTCATAAATACTTGGTGTTTCATTGAATGATTCCCTCCTCTCTTCTCTTCTCCCCCAGAGGGTCCCCAACTAGTGGTCACTGAGCTTCAACATGAAGACTCCCTGGGATAGGGAAGGTACAGTTTCTCAAGGCAGGCAATTTCACTTCTAGATAGCTCTAATTGTTTGGGGTATCTTGGGGCACAGTGGATAGAGTGCTGGACCTAGAGTCAAGAAGACCTATAGTTATGAAGACTCTCTTATTCTGTTTTGTTAATGTATGTTTGTAGGAATATGATTTTCCCCCTGAGAATTGTTTTAAATGCATGCCAGAAATTTTAATATCTTGTTTCATTATCATTTTCTTTCACATAATTATTAATTGCTTCTATGATTTGTTCATTGACCCACTTATTATTAGGATTTCACTGTTAAGGCTCCATTTGGGTATGCATCTTTTATTTGTGGTCTCTTAATTGATTACTATTTTTATGGTGTTATGGTCTGTAAAGGACGTATTTACTATTTCTGCCTTTTTACATTTGTTTGCAATATCTCTGTGCCCTAATATATAGTCAAGTTTTATAGAAGATGTATGTGGTGCTAATAAATATGTATATTTTTTAGTATTTAGAAGATGCAAAAATTTTTTTAGCTCTACTTTCTCCAGAAATTTGTTCAGTTCTATATTTTCACTTCTTTTTGCCTTTCTGTTAGATTTGTCTAAAGCTGAGAGAGAGAGAGACATTAAAATCTCCTGCCATTATTGTGTTACTATCTGTCTTTTTGTAGTTCAGCTAAAGTTTCCTTTATGAATTTAGATGAGAAGGAATTTGGGACATATGAATTTAATATTGATGTTGATTTGTTGTCTATGGTTCCTTTCAGCATAATGTAGATTCCTTGTTTATGTCTTTTTAGGCTTCAAATGTTTGATTTTGTTTTATCTGATAGCATGATTATAACTTTGGCTTTTTGAGATTTACCTGATCCCCAGGGCTATTTTTCATGTGAGCTGCTACCTAGCTATACTCCCCTCTTTTGTACTTGTAAAGTTTATTTTTTGGCTCAAGTGAGAACTTTATATTTATCCCTATTTTAATATCATTTTTTGGTAGGTTTGGCCTATCATTCTAGCCCAGGGGTGGGGAACCTGCAGCCTCAAGGCCTATTGATATCTTTTTAAATTTTTGACTCTGTTAGCTGTCTTTTCCAGTTTTATACCATGTGCAAATTTGATAAGATAAAAATATTGAGCAATATAAGGCCAAGGAGGCCTTTGAGACACTCTGCTACAAGTGTTCATCTGAATTGACATCATACCATCAGTGATTATTCTTTGGGTGCAATAATTAATGAGGATCCATATTCATTACGTGGTACTATCATCTAGCCTATATCTCTCCATCTAGTTCACATGATTAGTACAAGGGTTTTTATCAAATGACCTGCTGAAGAGGTTAGAGTTAGATCTTCTAGCATGGACTATGTCTTGGACTTAGCAAATATGCTCTGCCCCTTCCCTGGTATTTACCTGTATTCACTTGCACACCATTTCAGACAGAATACTTAGCTACACTTTGACTTGGATTCTCAAGACCCTACCCTACCTTGACATGCCCTGCTTCCTCAGCCTTCCTGTCCCCTTCCCACTCTCCCCTCCCCCCTTGCAGCTTCTCTGACTCTGGGAACGGTTCAGTCCCAAGGAAAAGGATCTGCAGTCGGAGAACCTAGTTTCTTCTCAAGGACCTTTGTGGAAAGAGCTCTGAGTTTGAAGTCTGGCTATATGGGTTCAAATTTCAGAAGTGACCTCTCCTCCAGGCTATGTGACTATGGACAAGTCACTGAGCCTCTTTGAATCTGTTTCCCCCATTACAAGATGGAGAAAGAATTTGGTGTCTCTGGGTAATTGAGCCATGTATGAGTTCAGGACCATCTCCCTTAGCCAGGTTCTAGTCTTCTCTGATGCCTTGCAATCTGTGGTCCATGGTTCTGTCACCACAGCATTTAAAAAATCCCAAGGAAATAATTTAAAGAACTTTGGTGGGTGAATGGGATGTCCCAGTGAAGACTTCTCAGTGTAATTAAGGTAATGAGTTCAGAAGGTAGTGTGAGAAATGAACTCTCAGAAGTGAAGTTTCCTCAAAGGGTCAAATAATTCTTGATTACTACTTTCAAAATCCTCCCCCACTCAGACCCTGTTTTTAAGCACTTAACAGAAAGAATAAGCCCTGCCCCACCCCCAACTGAGCCGTTTGTCCTTGGCTTTGAATTTCGAGCCTGGAATGTAAGCCCCACCTCCTGGTTAAGGGGATAGGAAGAAACTTTCAAGCTTAGAATGTAAGCCCACCCCCAGTTAAGGGGGTAAGGGATAGTGGCGGGTGGAGACTTGTTTTCATGGTGGGCAGAGATTTGCTTTTATAAGGTGGCCCCTGTTAGGTGGTCTCTCTCTCCACGTGTATCTCCACGTGAATAGGAGGAGCAGACAGCCATCTTGAGAGACTGTAATAAAGGTAACCTTTGCTTTCCACTTTGAGAAGTCTCTGAGTTTAATTTGGGTTGGGGTCACTGTCCCACACAGTGGGCATCCACTTTTATCTTGTAGATGCAATGAATCAGAAAGACTTTATTGAATGCCCCCAATCATTTAGTGCTCCATTCTTTTTACCAAATGAGTTAGGGTTATCTTTAGGTGCCCAATCAGATTCTTCTTTTCATATCCCCCCTCCTCCCCTATTTAATGGTAATTATTCTCTGAGTGATTTTGTGCTAAATGGTCACACCCAGGGAGTAAAGAAACAGACCACAGCCTTACAACAGAAGGGTTTATTGAAAGAGATTTTGTACACAGGAAAGGCCTCAGGAGGGCTGGAAAAGGGACAGGAATACTAAGATTCTTCTAAGACTAGACTTTAAAGTGAGTCTCTAGCACCTTTCTGGGCAGCACAAAAGCTGGAGGGTTCAGAGCAGGCTGTTTGTGTTAAGAAGGTTATAACACCAAGGTTGTGTGGTGGTGCTGCAGATGGACACCCTCACACCAAATATGTCTCAGCAGCATTCCTGCTTTGTACTGGAAAGGTCTGCTGGGTGGGATGGTGAGTGTTGGACCAGAATGCTTTTGGGATACAGATGTTTGTTACCTATAGCCCTAGGAACTAGGGTGTTACAAAAATAAAAGGAAACAAACAGAAACGGCTTCATTCAGGCTGAATGGGATGTCCCAGTGAAGACTTCTCAGTGTAATTAAGGTAATGAGTTCAGAAGGTAGTGTGAGAAATGAACTTTCAGAAGTGAAGGCTCCTCAAAGGGTCAAATAATTCTTGATTACGACTTTCAAAATCCTCCCCTACTCAGACCCTGTTTTTAAGCACTTAACAGAAAGAATAAGCCCCGCCCCACCCCCAACCTGAGCCGTTAGCCCTTGGCGTCAGGCCTCTTTCCTTGTCTTTGAATTTCGAGCCTAGAATGTAAGCCCCACCTCCCAGTTAGAATGTAAGCCCACTCCCAGTTAAGGGGGTAAGGGATAGTGGTGGGTGGAGACTTATTTGCTTAGTGGGTGGAGACTTTGCTCGGTGAGGGGAGAATTGCTTTTATAAGGCGGCCCCTGTTACTTGGGTCTCTCTGTCTCTCTCTCCATGTGTATCGGAGGAGCAGACAGCCATCTCACGAGATTGTAATAAAGGTAACCTTTGCTTTCCACCTTGAGAAGTCTCTGAGTTTAATTTGGGTTGGGGTCGCTGTCCCATACAAGGCCTATAGGAGCATTAGTTTAATTTTTTTGAAACAGGGAAAGATCTCAGCAGTAAAGTAACATATCCCAGGCAATAAATTGCCTAGGTAAGCAGAGTGGAAAGAAAAAAATCAGTAGGAAATGAACTGAGTATCTTAGTGTGTCTTTATATCTAAATGGCTTTAATCATTGCCAAGGGGAATGACCTTGAGGCATATTCTTGGAAAAGATAATAGGGTCTTTGTTACCGCCTTCCCTGGATACAGTTTATGTGAGTCTGGACAATTCATTTACTAGGAAAGCATTGCAGCTTGAAAAGTCCTAAACCACAGATGTAGCCTTATATACATCAAGAAAAGGAGTATAAAGACTACCAAGACAAGTGTATATAGTGCATTAAGGCAAAGTTTAGTTGAGTAGAGAAGCAGAAAGTGCTTACTATGTGGCCAGACTTTTGTCACTCACGAGGCAAAGAATGTGGTCCTGAACCTAAAGGGTATTTGAAATTGGGGAGACGACCAGTAAGAAACAACAAGAGTGCAATATATAACTGGACAGGATCCAGGGGTTGGCTTCCATGGTACTGACCATAAATACTATAGGATGCCGGAGAAAGGAGAAATCAGCATAGCCTGGAGTCATCAGGAGGACTCCATCTTGGAGGAGAGTTAGGTTAAGTGAAATTTAGATGGAAGAATGGTGCAGGATACATTCCAGGGTGTGTATGTGTGTGTGTGTGTGTGTGTGTGTGTGTGTGTGTGTGTGTGTGTGTGTGTGTTGTGTGTGGTGTGTGTGTGTGTAGAAGACAATAAAGAGACCAACATAAGTGATTTAGACATCACTTAAGACAAAGCCCACACAGTGAAGGTCTAGTTATTTGCATACTTCTAGTGGCAGGCAGCTCACTTCTTAATATGGTAGCTCATTCCATCATTGGACAGCTCTGAATATCCTGTAATGAACTTCCCATTCTCTTTGCTGTTCCAAGTCAAAATCTGCTTCCTTGTATCTTCCACTGGTTGACCCCAGTTCTTCCTGGAAGGGCCAAGGAGAGCAAATATAATTTTCATCTTCCAAATGCTAACCCTTTGGATATTTGATAGCAGGGATCATGTCTCCTAACCCCACCCCAAACTTGACTAAGCTAGGCATTCTGGTTAGTTGTGTTCGCTCAACTTCTTAGTCACCATCCTCTGTGCCCTTTGCAGCTTATCAGTACTGCTTCTACAGTGTAGTGCTCAGAATTGGACACAGTTCTCCAAATGTAGTCTAATAAAGGTAAAAGACCTCTCATTTCCTGGACACCATTTCTGTCAATGAAGTGTAAGATCACATAGCTTTTTAGGCTCTCACATCATCCTTGTGAACCAACCATCTCTCCTCACCCTAATTAGGTCTTTGTCCACATTAAAAAAAAGCTGGTTTTCAGGTTTATTTTCTCAACTTATCTGGAAGGTATGATGGTGACCCTTAGGTGAGAAGATTGAGATATAGAACTGGGGGTGGGTGGGGTGACAGGTGGAAGACTGACCACACTTTTAGCACATCTCCAAGGCAAGGGAGGGCTTCCCCAATAAAGTTAGAACCGGTAGCAGCAGAAGAGGGAGGAACAGCCTGGTGGGTTCAGCAGCATCTTCTAGGCCTAGGATCCAGCTTTTGTAGACACTGACGTTGGTGTAGACTCCGGGCCTATTGGGGCGGGCACAGCCTTCTCCCCAGCTTACAATGCCAACTTGGAACCAGACTTCATTGACATTGCACACCAGTGGTCCTCCAGAGTCACCCTGAAGAGGTGAGGGGAATGGTTAATTTGGACCATGGGAAAATCTGGGGAGGAAAGGGCTCAGCAGAGGACCACGGGGCTTTCCAGGGCTGGGCTGGGATGCCTAGGGAGGGAATATCAGGCACTGAGTAGCCATGGGAGGGATACTGTGTTAAACTGGTTAGCTGCAGTAGGGCAGAAGATGTGGATGATGGACTCCCAAGTAGGACAATAGAGAGATAGGCACATCTGGAATATTGGAGGTGGGAAGGGGTGCCTGGAAGGGGGCTCAGTGAGCCATCTTACCAAGCAGGAATCCTTCTGGCCCTCAGGGAAGCCAGCACAAAACATGTCAGACAGGATGATGGGCTCAGAGGCAGAGGTTTCTGATCCTATGTGGTAGTAGTCATCACAGACTTCGGTGCTAATGAGGGGCACCTCCAATTCTTGCAGGGTGTAAGGTGAAGGGAGGACTGTGGAGATGAGAGAGGGAGAAAATATTACAGACAAGTCAAGAAGTGGCTGACTTTGAGATGGGAGTAGACAATAGCTAAGCAAAAGCAAAATTGTGCTTACACTTTTATAGATATGGGTTCAAATCCTGACGGCCATTTAATACTTGTGTGACCTTGGATAAATCACTTAATCTCTCTAGGGCTTATTTTCCTCATTTGTACAATAAGAGAGTTAGACTAGATGATGTCTGAGGTTCCTTTTTCAGCTCTAAATTCATGTATACTTTTATGATATTGTGAACTTTTCTTATAATAGTTTTTGTTGTTGTTGTTGTCATTGAGGTAGGTAGTATAAGTTTTTATCTTCATTTTACAAATGAGGAAACTGAGACTCATAAAGGTGAAATGATTTACCCAAGGGCATATAGGGGAAGAGCTAGAAGTTGTGATTTTTAACTCTGAAGCCAGGGCTCTTGCCACCAGTCACACTGAATAGTTAGTTACTTTTTATTTATCTGTAAATCTGGAAGATGTGGGTTTGAATCCTTCCTCAGGCATGTACTTAGCTGTGTGACACTAGGCAAGCTACTTAACATGTCAGCCAGTTTCCTCATCCATAAAATGGGGATGACAATAGCAAATGAGATATTATCTGTAAATGTTAGCACTTAGCATAGTGATGGCATGCAGTAGGTGTTTAATAAATGCTTATTTCTCTCCTCTCCACCTTCCTATTTTCTGGGTTTGTTTGAGGATGGCAGGAGATAATATATATAAAGTGATTTGTAAACTTTAAAGTGCAGTCCAAATGCTAGTTATGATTGTTATTTCCTCATCCTTGAATATAAATGTATTTAATATTCCCAGAATCATGATGGCCCATTTCTATTTTCATCACAGTCCCTTATCTACAGTCACAATTACCCTGGGACAAGGGATCTGTAGTGAGTAGAGTATTATTCCCATCCTCCTCCAATACTCTCCTTTTCCTAACTTTCCTATTTCAGTTGATGGCACTACCATCTTCCCAATCACCCAGGTTCACAATCTATCTATTATCTTTGACTCCTCACTTCCCCTTTCCCCTTCCATTTACCCAATCAATTGCCAAGTTTTTTCCCCCTATTTTACCTCTTTAATATCTCTCATATCCACCCCCTTCTTTCTGCTCAAAGGACCACCATTCTAGTTTAGGCTTGACCACTTCTGACCTGAACTACTGCAAAAGCTTCCTAATTGGTCTTCCTGGCTCAAGTCTTGCACCCAAAGTCCCCTACCTTTGCAATAAGAAAGGGAAGTGCATTTTTGTAACTCTTCTTCAAATTCAAGCTTATTCATTAGGGTTTGTTTCATTGTCCTTTATGTTTACACTGTTGTAGTCATTGTGCATATTGTTTTCCTGTTTCTACTTCACTGCATACTGAAACATAGAAGTCTTCCTATGTTTCTCTGAATCATTCACATTAATACTTTTTTTTTTAAAGCATAATAACATTCATGTACCTTAAAGTATGTACCATAAATTATGTACCATAAAGTGTTTGGCCATTACTCAATCTTTGGACACTTACTTTATTTTTGGTTCTTTATTGCCACAAAAAGAGATGCTATGAATGTTTTGGTATATATGGGACCCATCTTTGACCTGTTTAGTTTATATGGCTATTAGTGGGATTTCTGGTTTGCAGGCTATGGGCATTTTGGTCAATTTTTTCATCTTAATTCCAAATTACTTTCCAGAATAGTTCAACCTATCTGTCTAGACTGATTTCATGTTTGTATGGTATATATTCTTCAGTAAGGTATATATCCCAGCTGTACTGGTCTACTTACTACTCTGTGCGTGACATTCTTTCCTTAATCTCTCTTGCCTTTGTATAGTCTTTCACTCATGTCTGGGACCTTTTCCCTTCTCACCTTCTCACCTTGAGCTCTATTCAAGGCTCAACTCATACACCACATGCTATAGAACACCTACACTGATTTTTCTAGTTAATGCTCTCATTGATTCTGCTGCCACATCCCCACTCCATTTAGTTTGCATATATCTTATACTTACTTATCAGCATACACACTGAAGGCATGGACTATTTCACATGTTTGTTTTGGCATCCCCTTTATCGAATACCATGTCTAGCACACAGAAGACACTTCATATTTATTTAAATGAATTGAATCCCCAAATTATAATAGAAAAGGGAGTCATTTGAAAGTAGACCAGAGGCTGATTGTGAATGCTATTCAATTAATGCCATACACAGGCACTCATAGTTTATCCTAGGGGTGATAGGGAACCACTGGAGCTCCTTGAGCAGGGGTTGCATTGGTCAGACCCTCACCTGAGGAATATAAATTCGGCAGCTGTGTGGGGGATAGCTTAGAGAGGGGAGAGACTGGAGATGGGAAGACAATTTAGGAAGCTACTGCTGTGGTCCAGGCAAGAGGTGATGGAGGCCTGAACTAGAGTGATTATGGAGAGAAGGTATTTTACAGTAGATACAGAAGATATTTTAGCAGTAGAGTCTATAAGCTTTAGCAACTGATTTGATATGGGGGCTGGGGTGCGTGAAAAGTCAAGAATGACTTCAAATTTGAAAACCTCACAGACTGGAAGAACTGGGGTGTCCTTCACGGAAATAGGGATGTTAGAAGGCTACAGGGGGAGGGAGGAGGAAAATGGGGAGGGAGAAAGGAAAGGAGAGAGGGAAAGAGAATGAGTTCTATTTGGGAGGTGCTAAGTTCACAATCCAAATGGATATCCAGGTGGAGATGTCCATCACGTAGCTGGAAATGCAGTACTAGAACTCAGAAAAGAGATAAGGGTTACAGATGAAGATCTGGAAGTCATCTATGTAGAGACAATAGTTGAACTCATAGGATCAGAGAGAGCATATAGAGAGTAGTCAGTCAGTCAATAAGCATTTATTAGGTGTCTACTATGTGTCAGGCACTGTGCTAAGCCCTGGGGATACAAAGAAAGGCAAAAGACAATCCCCACCCTCACAGGAGGGAGACCTTTCCAATACTCTACTGGGAGGAGTAGAGAAGAGGACCCAGGACAGAGCCTTAGATGACACCTATGCAATAGGAGTGATTATGTGGAGTATTTAGCAAAGAAACCTAGAAAGAATTAGCAGTTAAAACGAGAATCAGGAGAGAACAATGTCATATAAACCCATGGAAGAGAGAATGTCCTGAAAAAGGTGCTAACGATGTGAAACACTGCAGAGAAGACAAGAGGGATGAAAAATGAAAAAAGGCCATTGGATTTAGCAGTGAAGAAAGAGATCACTGGAGGAAACAGTTTCAATTAAATCATTTCTGAGTGGGCTCCAAAGCCGGATTGTAAAAGGTGGAGAAGTGAGTGGGAGGTGAGAAAGTGGAGACTGGAAATATTGATAGCTTATTCTATGAACTTGATGGAAAGAGAGGAGAAATATAGTTAAAGAGGATGGTAGGGTCAAAAGAAGGCCTTTTAAGGATAGGGGAGGATCTGGGTATGTTTGTAGGCCACAGAGAAGGAACTAGTGTATGAAGGGAGGTTGCCATTTAGGGAAAGGGAGAGAGAATGGTCAAAGGCAGAAAGCTCGAAGAGGTGGGATCAAGCATTCAGATAGAAGAGATGGCAAGGAGAGGGTCCCTTCATGCTTGGTCTCTGCAGCATGGTGCCCTATATGGGCCGTTGCTGCTCCATGCTTCTAGGCCTAGGTTTTCCACTAGCCAACCTGTGATTTTGGACAAGTGCCTTTCCCCTCCCCCTTTTCCCCTTTCTTTTCTCACGGTAAAGTGAGGAAGTTGGACCAGATGATCATTAAAGTCTCTTTCACCTTTGATAAGCTGTGATTTTAAGGGCTTTTGCTAAAAAGAACTTTCTTTGTGATTCCTACTGGACTCTAGGATACACTTAGAGTAAATAGAAATAATTTAAACATGATTTTGTAGAATCCTAAGACTTAAGAGTTCAAAAGGACATTTTAGACCAGACGTGTCAAACTCACGGCCACAGGCTACAAGCAGCCTGCACAACTGGCTGAACCAGATTTCAATGTAATTAGGGAATGTTTCACAAAATATACAATCCACCATAGATACTGTCAATTTGTAGTTTTCTAAGTCAATATGCAGCCTTGCAGGAATCTGTTTCTATTTGAGTTTGACAACACTGGTCTAGCCCAGGTAATCCAATTTAAGTCAGGGAATAAGGAAGATTTCCCACAGATGGGCCCATATGTGAATGACCCTTTGTGGTTTAACTACTGGCTTCGGATGACACTGTATACTTTCAGTTTTTGAGATAAGAGGAGCCCCATATTTATATTTTCTCATCTTTTCTTTGGAGAGGCAGTGCAGTACAATGGGAAGTCAGCAGTTTGGGGCTCTGGTCCTGACATTTATTAGTTATATGATCCTGGATAACTCACAGAACCTCAGTTTTCTCATCTGTATGCTGAGCATAGGAACCCATGGATGATTTACTTCATGGAATTTTCAGAGGAAAGTCCCCTGTAATCCCTACAAAGCTAAAAATAGGTAGATTTTTAGTGGTGTATTACTTCAAAATTTATGTTTTCCTTCCCCTCTGTGAATAAACTCTCAAAAATGAACTCAAGGTCTGAAGGGTGTGGGGACTATGAAAAGAAGTAAAAGGGCAAACTCAGAACTAGAATTAAGCCCCAGAAGCAGTGTCCATAGCAGGCGAAGGGGTTAGTGAACTAGGGATTGGACACAGAGAGCCAAGCAGATTTAAGTTCGAGGGAAGTCAGGAGGCTGACTGCTTCAAGTTCCAACAACCATTAAAGGCTTTGAAAGTAGGGAAAGATGGGGCGCCTAGGTGGCACAGTGGATAGAGCACCATCCCTGGAGTCAAGAGACCACCAGTTCAAATAGACCTCAGATACTTGATACTAGCTGTGTGACACCGGGCAAGTCACTTTTTCTCACCAAAAACAAAACAAAAAATAGTGGAAGGTGACTTCCAGATCTTAAGGACAAAAGTCTCCTGGATCAGTTTTAAGAAGGAGCTGGATTCTCTTGGAAACTGCCTGAGGCCTAAGGTCCAGGGCTCTATCTTTCACCTGGGGAAATACCACAGTGCTACCCAAAAGACCTTGAGCCTGGGAAAGTAGAAAGGTTATTTTTACAGAGACCTGTCTCCCCTGGCCCACTCTTACGTTCTTCTTCCCCAGTCTGTCCCCAGCCAGTCACCCAGCACAGAGTCCCTTCCACTGGTTGGTCTGCACTGTCTGGGAGGCAGATGGGGAGTATGTAGTTGTTGAAGTTGACTGATGAGTCCATTTGAACCAAAGCAATGTCCCCAGGTCCAAATTCTTTTTGGTAATAGGGATGTCGTTTGAACTGGACCACTTTTCGAATCTGTGCATCAGCATTGACTGGGTAGGGTGAGATTGAGCCCAGTACTACCGAGTAATCTGAGGGAGCCAGAGACCTAGGGGAAGAAAAGAGGGAAAGAAAGGGTAGTTTTGGAGGCTGGAGAGAGAGTGTGTGCGTGTGTGTGTGTGTGTGTGTGTGTGTGTGTGTGTGTGTGTGTATGTGTATGTGTTGGAGTTGGTGGTGGTGGGGAGCATCACAGGGAAACCTAATCTTGGAAAAATTTTTAGGTCTTAGGTCACAAGTGAATTCCTCAGGGCTGGGCTGAGGGTATCGGTCAGTGTGGATTAAAAATCTGGGGTAGGAAAACGGGGAACAGTAGAACTTCAAGCTTTTTCATATGGGCAAGAATTTCTCCAGAGAACAATTTACCTAGTAGCAATGACATGGTAAAGACAAATAACTGAAAGAATTAGTGGCTCTGACCAGTGAAAAGTATCATCTAAATGTTAGCTACTATTACTATTACTATTGTTTATATAGCTAACATTTACGTAGCTTTTTTTTTGCAAATTGCTTTACATGTATTATCTCATTGGATCCTCACAACAACTCTGAAAAAGGAAGTGCTATTATTATCCTCATTTTACAGATGAAGAAACTGAGGTAGACAGAGGTTAAGTATCTTAGCCAAGGTCACACAACTAGTAAGTGGCAGAGGCCAGATTGGAATTCACGTCTTTCTGATTCAAAGTCCAATGCTCTCTCCATTGCACCATTTCAAACCAGGACATGCTTCTAAACTTCCTCTAGTTGCATTCCGCATGAATTTTCCTTTCCCCTTATAGTCCTGCCTTATAATCCTCCCTCTTCCCCCCAACACCTGGTACAAAATTCCTAGTTATTACTCTGAATGGATGACAGCTAAGGTTCCTTCCAGCTTTGAGATCCAATGATCTAATGAATCAATGACCAAGCTCAGCAATATAAGGTCAGTCTGTTTTATTTTTTATTTATTTTTTAGACAATTGGGGTTAAATGACTTGCCCAGGGTCACACAGCTAGTAAGTGTCAAGTGTTTGGTCTGAGGCCAGATTTGAACTTAGATCCTCCTGATTTCAGGGCTGGTGCTGTATCCACTGCACCACCTAGCTGCCCCATCAGTCTGCTTTTTTAAAAATCAGTATTTCTATTATTATTTTGTTGTTGAAGACTGAACTTTGTTTGAGATAAAAACTGCATGACTCTGGGATCTCACTTTTCTCACAGAGAGAGGGTATGTGTAATAATAGCTGGAATTCACATATGTTCTAAAGTTTGTGAATGTTTTACATATGTATTTTATGTATATATTTACATTTAAATACTTAGATACCCTCACAACAACTTTGTGAGACAGGTGCCATTATTTCTTCTATTTTATAAGTGAGAAAACTGAAAATCAGCTTGTTTTCTGGCTAGACACAGGAAGTAGTTTTGGTGTTCATAGTTATTAATGTAGGACACTTTGTAAAGTGCTTTGCAAACCTTAAAGAATGAGCTTTGTTATTATTATCATTATCATCATCATTATTATTGTTGTTTCTGTGAAATACAACACGATCAAATGTTAGTACATTAATACGTTACTTAATTACTAACATTTCCATGGCACTTTAGTAAAGGGTTATAAAATGCACTTTTCACAACAGCTCTCTGAAGGAGGCAATGTAAGTATTTTTAATCTCTATTTTCACAAATAAGGGAACTGAAATTCTGAGTAATAGACCTAATAAGCACTGGAGCTGGGAGATCTTTCTGACATCAAGTCAGTCAATCAGTAAACAGTTAACAAGTGCCTACTATGTGTCAGAATGGCAAAATATAGTCCTTCCTCTCAAGGAGCTCACAGCTACTGGGGGAGACAACATGGAATTGACTATTAGTTGGGCAAAATATACGCGAGATAATTTGGAGATTACCAACAAAGGAAGGCAGTAGTATTAAGGGGGGATCCTCTATAGCATGCTGCCTCAAATACTGAAAAAAACTCTGAAGAGAGAGCCTAAAGAGTGACTGTGATATGGAGATGCTTTATTTTACAAAGCTAGGTAACAATAGGAGAAAAAAACCCCAAATAATAGACAAGGTGGGGAGGGTACCACTCTTCCCCCCAAAACAACAACAATAACAACATGGAAACAAGGAATGAGAGAGGGATGATGGGTTGATTGCATAGCTTAGTTGGAAAAAAAAAAAGGTCCAGAAGTTGTTTGTGGCCTCTGACCTTTCTTTAGCCAGGTGAGCACACACCTCAATTAATCTGAGGGAACCTGTTGCTAGAACTGAACACCCTACTTTCCTCTAGGAATTCTATGAAGGCTGGTCTCTGTTTCTGGAAATGCTCCCTCTATTCTTTCTGCCTTTCAGAATCCTTCACTTCTCTCAAAGCTCAGCCAAAGTCAGGAGTTTGCTGGAGCCATCTCTGACCAGCTTGTGAGAATCAGCAACTGTTACCAGTTGGGCTTGATTTATTTTTAAGTTGATTGTCTAGACTTAAGAGAATATTAATATTGCAGAATAAAATTAAAAGTAGGTATATACTTTCGCACTTTTCCTCCCCCCTCCCAGCCCAGTTAAACATTTACCAGCAACTCCTCTATTGCTCTATAGAAACTATTTAAGTTCGTTAGGGCTGCAGTAAAAACTCAGGGAATGAGGTCATCACCAGATTGGAGGTGTGGTGAGTGTTTTCTGGTAAGTCAGCCAGTAAGCACTTATTAAGCTCCTACTACATTCCACCATGGAGTCCTGAAGAGTTGGACATGAATGAATAACAACAAACACTCTGCTAAGCACTGAAGAGGGTTTGGGGGGAAAGATAATGAGCACAGTTTTGGACATGTTGATTTTAACATGTCTACAAGACATTCAGTTTGAGATGTCTAGTAAGTGGCTGGAGAAGAGAGGCTGGGGATCACTAGAGAGGTTGATGTTTGAAAAAGTAGATTTGGGAATAGTTGGCATAGATATGATTGTTGAATCAGTGGGAGCTGATGAGATCACCAAGTAAAATAGTAGAGAGGGAGAAGTGAAGAGGATCTAGGACAGAGCCCCGTGAAGCATTCATGGATGTGGTCATGACTGAATGAAGCTCCAAAGAAGGAGACTCAAGAGCAGTCTGCAGGAGAATCAGGAGAGAGCAGACCCACAAAAACCTAGAGAGAAGACAGTATCAAGGAGAAGATGGTAATTGACAGTGTCAAAGGCTTCAGAGAGGTCAAGAAGAATGAGGACTGAGAAAAGGCCATTAGATTTGGCAATTAAGAGATTGTTAGTAACTTTGGAGAGAGCAGTTTTGGTTGAATGATGAGGCAGGATGCCAGACTATAGAGAATTGAGAAGAGTGTGAGAAGAAAGGAAATGGAGACATTTACTGTGCAGATAGTTTTCTTAAGGAGTTTAGCTGCATGAGAGAGGAGAAATATGGGATGACAGATAGGGGGAATGGATGAATGGAGGGTTTTTGAGGATGGGGCATGTTTACAGACATGGAGGGTAGCAGCCAGGAAGGAGAAAGTGAGAGGGTGGGTATGATAGAGGGGGCAATTTGCTGGAGAAGACAGGATGGAACAGAAGTCACTTGCGCTCTTAGAGGGCAAGGAGTAGGGCCACTCCATGTGATACAGGGATGGAGGAGAAGACAGTGGCAGAAGGCATCTAAATGACTGATGTGAAGTGAGGAAAAGAGGGAGCTCTCCGTAAGTGGCCTCAATTTTTTCAGTAAATTTGAGTCAGGTTTCTAGGCTGAGATGGTAGGAAGAGGGACAGCCATGGGAGATTCGAGGAGGACTTCTTGACAAAACAAGTATCTTTCTATCTGGACCCTCCTCCTCAAGCCCCACACTCTATCATAAAGATATAGTTGTGGGGTTTAAGCATCAGTGACTAGTGGTGTATATCTTTAACGTGTACATTTTTTCTTTTTTGCCTTTCTTGCCCATACTACCTAGACCCCTAGGTCTAGGTGTACTACAAGTTGAGCCATGGGGGAAAAAAAAAAGGTCAGAGGAATGAAAGAGGAAAATCAAGGTCTAGTTGCAGGCAGTCGAAGTGCTGGGGCAGGAGCAGGAGGCTTACTGGGGTTGGGAAGGAGGAGACGGGAGCTGCTGAGGGGATTGGGAAGAGGATTGTAGTGGGGTGAGGGAGGGATAACCAAGTTGCTAGACTGGCCTCCTTCCTTTCAAACCAGAGCCTCCCAGAAGCAGCAGAGGGAAGGGAATGGGAAGAGGAAGAAGGAAGGAAGAGTAGTGTTGGTGGTAATTATAGTAATCTGGTGTCCCCAGAGACTGGGAAAGCTTCCCTCTCAGCCTCACACTTGAAGGGCTCTAGATTCTGGATAGCCACACTGTAAAGAGGGCTGCTACTGGGCATTTCCATACATAGGCTTATATGCATGTTGAACTTATCCTGCTGATATAGAAGTGGATCTCAGTGTCCTAAGCCCAGGACTGTCCTCATTCTGGGGAGAAGTAGCTAAGGTCCTCTTTATCTTAGATCTCAATACCCAGCACAGGGAATGTCTTTTCTTTCAGCCCATCATGGATACTCACGTATCTAAACAGTGGGCAGCTGTTAGCACCCAATCTGAAGAAATGAGTGAGCCACCACACACAGGTGCTTCATTCTCCAGAAGACTGACTTGCCATGGCCACTGCCCCAGCTGGGCATCCTGCCCTGAGACGATTCGGCTTCTTCTTTGGGAGCGTCCACACACTGTAGGAAGAGAGTAGACAGGACAATCAAGGCTGGTTGGCTTCAGCTCTTCCTCTACTTTGAGTACCCAGGTAGCCTGCCCATCAGTCCCTAGATTTGGATATCTCCACTTTCAGAGCCCAGGTCTCCAGCTCTTTCCCCCCCCCCAGTTTAATCTCCTCCTCCTCTCCCCAAACTTCCTGCTCAGGTAAGCATCCCACCTGATGTATCTATTTCAACAACACGCAGAAAAGAGGAAGAAGTGAAGACGTTGCTCCCTGTGAGGGGCCTGATCAGCACCCCCAGTAAGAGGGGCAGCAGCAGGAGAGCTTGACTGGAGGCACACATTATCTCTTCTTTGGTGTTAACACTTCCTTATGTTAGGTTATATATTAGGCTCCCAGGTTAAGAAGATACTTACTGATTGCTCCACCTTTACACTACCTGGGTCAGGGTGGGGATAAATAGAGGGTGTATCTTTTTACTTCCTTGACTCTCATAAAACCATAAAATCTGGGACAGAAATCAAAAGGTGCTCAATGGTTGTTGAGGGAAGAAAGGAAGAAAAAATAGATATTTAACTTAAAAATTTTCAATTATTTAAAAAATGTGTTCCATTTGGCAACCACCAATAAAAACATTTAAATACAAGAATGTAACAGGGTTTTGTGTCAACACTCCCTCTCCTCCAATATATGTAGGCTATGTGTGGCCATCACCCATCTCTCTATTTGCAGCTGGCTTATTTTTCATTCTCACCACAGGTTCTAAGGCTATCAAGGTGTCATGCTCTGATATCTCCTCATTAATAGTAAAATTGTACCATCTCTTATTAAGTAATCAATTAGCATTGAGCCTTTACCACAGTTTATTACATATTATTTATTTGAGCTGGCACTTTTGCAAAATATTTAACAGGTCAACCTTCCCCCCCTCCCTCATCCCTCCCCAAGCTGGAGTTTCTTCTGGATTCCATACGGTGTGTTGTGTATGTGTGTAATGACAAATACAACTGCTGGCAAAGCTGAACAGAGCAAACTATTTCAAGAGAGTATGGCTAACAGCAGCTTTAGCTTTTTTTTTCTTTCTAAAGGCAATATATATATATATATATATATATATATATATATATATATATATATTATATGTGTGTGTGTGTGTGCATGCGTGTTTGTGCTCTATAGATCACAACAATGGCTTAGACACACTAAATAAGTTCAAGTGAGATCTGACAACAGGCAGAGCTAGGAAACACAACATTGAGCTGCTTCTGCGGCCTTCATTGCCCTACCTTCTGGCCATGGGTTGAGTCTTGAGGGAGAAACTTGTCTAATGCCATGCAAAGGGACAGGAAGCACTGTAGTGACATGTTGGAAGGGCTGTGCACAGGTACCAGCAGGCAGGAAAGTAGCATCCATTAGACATTGCTCAGGGTGGCCACTCCAGGGAGAGCTTTGCTCTCCAACAGCTGTAGATTGGCACCAGCCACAGTGCTCTTTGTCCTCAGTGTTCCAGTTGGCACAGCAAGTGGCAGTATCCTACCACCTATGATAGTGATGCAACCCCTCTTGGTAGCCTCCGCCACATTGTTCATTAGCCCTTCGGTTCCCTGAACAAAGGCTTCCTACTGAAATAGTCCAACGGATCTGTTCCACGCAATATGTTTGGCCTGGGCCACAGCTTTTGCATACTTCTTATTGCCCTTGGGGTCACATGGATGGGGTCACCAAACCCATCCACCCAGCAGGGATGCCAGAGGCCAATGTGGCTTGACCAGTCTTAGCATTCTCCTCAAACTTGTCCATTGTGACAAAGTCAACAGGCAAAGTGATCTTGACACCATTCTTCTCAGCCTTGGTCATCAGGTCTTTGACAATCTTGGCCCCCTCTTCATCAAAAAGGAAAGTTCCAATCTCCATATTGCTGAGCACCTTGAGGAAGGTGAAACCCATCCCACCACCAATGATCACCTCATTGGCTTTGTCTAGCATATTGTTGATCAACTGGATTTTGTCTGCAACTTTAGCTGCGCCCAAGATAGCCAGGAAGGGCCTCTCTGGGATCTCCAGGGTTTTGGCAAAATAAGTCAACTCCTTTTTCATGAGGAAACCATATGCCTTCCGGGGCAGATTCACTCCTACCATGGAACTGTGGGCAAGGTGAGCAGAACCAAAAGCAGCATAGACATAAACAACCTTTAGTTTGGAGAGGGATATTTGGAAGGCTTCTACTTTGGCTGGCTCTGCTTTGATCTTGTTTCCAGAAGCATCTTGCCTTTTCCTTCTCCTACATGGAAGCGAAGATTCTCCAGCAAAATGATAAAAGCATTGGTACACCCAAACAATCCTTCAAGAACAGAACATCTTTGCCTAGCAAGGATTTGAGCGCTGTAGCTAGGGGCTCCATGGAGAATTTGTCAGGCATGGGGATACCATCAGGTCGGCCTGAATGGGTCATCAGAACAATAGACTTGGCTCTATTATCCAAGCAGTAAGTGATGCTAGGAAGAGCAGTCTTGATTCTCTGGTTGGTGGTTAGCTCTTTATTCTTCATGGGAACATTAAAATCTACCCTTCTGATGACCCCTTTCCCCTTCAGGTCCACTGCATCCATGGTCAGTTTGCTGGAAAGAGACATATTGGTGATGAGGAGATCACAGGGCAGCAGCGGCTCTTTGAACTGGTAACTGATCTGTACACTGGGGTCAGCACCTACTGCCAAGTGCCCAGACATTATTATTTAAACTGAAGAAAACTCCTTTTCCCATAAGCAATTGCTTCTCTCTCTCTCTGCCTTTCTCTTACACTCTTCCTTAAATCTCATAATATCCTAGGTTTAAAAAACATCAAGGTTATTGGCTATACATACATACATACATTATATATATATATATATATATATACACACACACAACACAGTGTAACAATAAAATAAAGGCACAAGTAACTATGAGAACTATCACAGCTAGAGTTACACCTAACAATTATTATTATTGCTGACATCATTCCATTTTGAATCTAACATCTGTCAAGAATCTTTTTCATGAAGTTCGCAAGATAACATTTAAAACAGTTCTTTTAGTTCTTTCCCTCTGACTTCCCACAGTTTCACTCAAGACCATAGTAGTAACTCTGGGGTGTGTGGGGTGTTCAGGGAGAACCAGCCCCTTTGGTGTGAGGGCTTGCTAAGACCTTTTCAGGGCTGCTCATTCACCTTTGGTGACCACCTTCACTCAGCTCTCACCTGTAGCTCCAAGAAGCTGTAGCACGTGCATTGGCCATACCCCAGTAAAACCATATTGGCAGATGGGCTAAACCAGGTTGAGGGTAACCAAGAGGTGTCAAACCCATCAATGAATTAGGGTGATATCTACCCCAAGATATGAAGACTTCCCCTGGAGGAATGGGTGGATGAGAACATTTTGTTCCAATGTCCAGAAGGTGGCTGAAACAGGAGCTAGGGAGAGCTTAGAGCTTGGTCAGACCAAGTGGAAGACACCAAGGTCATCCACCACATCCCAGGCCACTACCAGTCATCCTGACCTTTGTCTTGCCACTGGGCTTCAAAGAGAAAAAGTAAGGCTGATAATTTTGTGCAACTTTTCCTCACTTAAATCCAATTCATGTGCAAGTCAAGACATCAATATGATATCATCGGTCTTCTTTGAAAACAAAGGACAAACAATAACAGTGATAACTTTACAAAATAACAGTTCATCTGTTATTTCACAAGAGTCCCATTCCCTCCTAAAGATATAGCCATAGACTGTGGGAGAGTTATTGAAACTGGTGTTATATAAATAAAAATTGAAAGTGATCATATCATTTACATTATTTACAATGTTTTTAAATGTACCCAATCCATTCCATATTTTGCTCTGATAACTATAATTAAATAAACACTATACTTGCTTTTAGAAAGGCAAATGTATTCTTCTTCTTTTCCTTTCCATTCTTCTTTTAAGATCACCAAGACACAACTGACCCACTCTTAGAACTTCTCATTAGATTCCTTATGTGACCTCTGATGGTGATAGGGCTCACAAGGGACATATATATATATCATCTCCCCATACTAGAATATAAGCAGTATATCCTTGTTTAGTCCTTTACCTTTGTTTATTCACATTTATCATTTTATATTTTTCTTAACTCTTGTGTTTGAACGCCATAGTTTCTACACACTTCAGATCTTTTCATCAGGGATGAAAAGGGATGCTTGGAAGTCATCTATTTCATTAAAGGTCCATTTTCTTCCTGTTGGATTATGTTCAATTTTTTCTGGGTAAGTAATTCTTGGCTGCAGGTCTATATCCTTTGCCTTCTAGAGTATGGTATTCCAAACTCTACTCCTTTATTATGGTAGCTGCTATATCATATGTGTGATCCTGATTGTGGCTCCTCAGTACTTGAATTCTTTCTTTCTGGCTGCTTGCAGTGTTTTTCTTAGACCTGAAAGCTCTGGATTTTGGCTCTCTTGTTCCTGGGAATTTTCATTTTGGAGTTTCTTTCAGAAGGTGACTAGTGGATTCTATTTCTACTTTGCCTTCTGGTTCTAAGAGATCTGGACAGTTTTCTTTTTAACATTTCTTGATATATGATGTCTAGGCTATTGTTTTGGGTATGACATTCGGGTAGTCTGATAATTCTTATTTTTTTTTCTCCTCCATCTCTTTTCCAGGTCAGTTGTTTTTGCTATGAGATGCCATAATTTTTTCTTTTTTTTTCCTCCAGCCTTTTGACTTGATTTTAATGTTTCTTGTCTCAAGGGGTCTTTGGCTTCTATTTGGTCCATTCTAATAATGTGCAGGGAGTTTATTGCTTGGGCAAGGTTTTGTACTTATTGTGCTAAGCTTTCCCTTTTCATTTCTTTATTCTGTATCTCTAATTTCTTTTCCATTCCCCCTCTCTAGTGCTCTCATTTCATTGATAGAAACATTTCAAAACTCAAAAATCTTTTCTAGAAATTCTAGTTGAATTTGTGCTCAAACTGCCTTTTTTTTTTGATTCTGCTTATTGATGTTTTAGAGTCATTTTCTGCTTCTGGCTTAATATCTGAAGTGTCTCTGTCATAAATATCTTTTTATAATGCAATTTTTTACCCTCATTCTTCCAGCCTACATTCTGATTCCAGACTTGATATTAGAGCCAAATTTTGCACACTTTGGGAGGGAAGTATGGGCTAGTCCTTTTTTTGCTTTCTTAGGATATTGAGAGTTTTGTTGTTCCAGGATTTCAAAGGCAGATAAGGCTCAAGACCTGAAGTTTTTAGTGTTCCCAAAGAGATTTATTTTGGGGTAAGGTCTGATTGCTGCACCCAATCTGAGTTGTGACTTGGATCTGAGTCTA